CTACTTCTTGCTTTTGTCCAATATCTACTATTTTTTCTATCATTTAATTTCACTCACTTCAGTGGGAACTACTGAAACGGAAAACAGCAAGACACTTGTACTACAACACTTATCTGGGAGCATTATCACATTTGGGCAGACTTAGCACAGGACTTCACACGCTATTTCATCTCTCAGTATTACCAAAAAATGGTTTCATGTGCAATACAGCTTTATTGAGGAATTAAAGAGAATAAATGACTCCCCAGAGTTTGTGGGGATAGCACACACTCAGACAGTCATAATGGTAAACACTAACCTTTTGTTTTGCCCCTGGACTACATATTCCTCTGCACTAGGAAGAGTTACTCTTCCAGACCAAGTTGTGCACTTACTCTCCCACTCTACTCTGTGCTGGTGCAGCCTCACCTCGAGTACTGTGTGCAATTTTGGGCACCACAGTACAAAAAAGGATGTGAAACTATTGGAGATTGTCCAAAAGGCTACAAAGATGGTGAAAGGCCTAGAGGGGAAGATGTATGAGGAGCGGCTGAGGTCACTTGGCCTCTTCCACCTGGAAAAGAGGAGGCTGAGGGGAGACCTCATCGTGGCCTACAGCTTCCTCACAAGGGGGAGTGAAGGGGCAAGCAGCAATCTGTTCTCTTCATTGACCAGTGATAGGACCAGAGGGAATGGTGTCAAGCTGTGACGGGGAGGTTCAGGCTGGATATCAGGAAAAGGTTCTTCACTGAGAGGGTGGTCACGCACTGGAACAGGCTCCCCAGGGATATAGTCATGGCACCAAGCCTGTCAGTTTAAGAAGCATTTGGACTGTGCTCTTAGTCATATGGTCTGAATTCTGGGGTAGATCTGTATGGAACCAGGAGCTGGACTCGAAGATCCCTGTGGGTTCCTTCCCGCTTGGGATATTCTATGATTCTATGATTCTGTGATTCTATGATTAGCTGTTTTTGTTACTGTTATTATTCTTGCTTAGCTGCTGCTGCTTTTTTTCTGTGCTTAGGTCATCTTTTCCTGATCTCTTAAGGTTATACATCCTCTGTAACCAGTAAAAGTGCCTATCAGTAAGTTCCTTAAAGCCCTACTGTCCATGTTTTTCAATTTTTTATATTTTTTTTCATTGTTTTTCTCCATTTTAAAAACCTTTGCTGTTATCTCACACTCAAACTCCACACTAACAAGACACACATGATACCAAGCCTCAGTTCATGTGACAGGTTCTCACAACAAGTTGATAACAAGTTCGATAAACCTGAGTCACTATTCTTTGCAAAGGTAGGGTAAGGTCTGTTACTAGCAATGGCAGTTTTTTTTTACAGCATGACAGACCAGATTGGATGTTGTCTCCTTACCTGTCTCTAGCTCCTCTTCCTTTATTCCCGGTTGCAGTAGCAAATTTCTGGACACTTGTCAGAGTAGGGGTTGAGACTGTTTTAGGTAGATCACAGATTCCTTTTGGTCCTGAGTAAGTACACCCCAGAACCTGAATGATATTTTTCCTGGTCTTATCTCTAAAAAAACTTCTGCACCAATCTGTGTGCTTTCAGCAGTGACAATTTAAGCTATAGTAATGAGAAATTCAAAACCAGGAATTCCTAGTAGCTTCTCTTTTGAGTCTTTTTGTTTCAAAGGAAATGATTCTGAACAGTCTCTACATAAATCAGCCAGGCGGTGAACAGAAGTCCTATAGCACAATAGTTTAGTGCAGAAGCCTGTACAACACAATGCTGCTCTAACTGCAGTTTTCATTTCTGTATTTCATTTTACCTGACTTTAAAATCTGCTCAGTTATTTCAGCTCTTTATGAAGGCTGATAAAGTGACTGCTAAATAGCAGGAGCTTGCACTGGTTTTCTCTTATCTGCAGCACAGCACATACTGGTTGCATTTTGCCACAGGTGACAGTTGCTCTCTTTGCCACCTCGCCTCCTAGTAAGCTGCTGGCCAGGCTTAATCCAACTCTGAACTCTATAATCAAACACTTTTACTACGTGCTGAAAGCTTCCTGCCCAGAAGGGACTGTCTCCCTCAGTAAGGCATAGGTGGTTATTCTGGACTCTGCCTGTTTTAAAACAGAGGCCTCAGGGAGAGTGCTCCTCCCTGCTGCCCTGAGGATATGGCTGTTTTTCTTCCTGAGCAGCACTGCTGTCGCTGAATCATAAGGAAGAGGATCAGGGTTCTGTCACACTGACATGATTTTAGAATTAATTCAGGATGTCAGAGCACCAACAGCACCTGATCTGCAAATTACAAAACGATTTTGGAAAGAGCTGTTGCCTACAGCTCTGAGGCTGAGGTGTTCTTTACAAACACTGATCTAGCCCATATGGGAAGAGGGCAGCATTTTAGGTAGCTGCAAATGCTGACTTCTCGGATGAGGAGGATTATTATCAGGACTTTGCATTGTGCTGGTGTTCCACAGAACCCTACAGAGAGGCTTTGGAAAGCTAGACACTACAAAACAGAAGATGCTGTGTGCCGCTTAGTCACAAAACCGCTTTAGAACATGCAAAACCCCTCTGTATTGTCTAAAGTGAAGTTGTGTAGCCCTTTTGCCCAATAAATGGAGTGAAAAAAATAAATGGAGATACAATACATTGAATTTCAGACTATGAAATTCTAATTTTCTGTTGCTATGAAACAGTTGTCTGTGGTGAATGCCAGGTGCACAGTAGCAGCCTCATTAAGCTGGGCTTGTCAAATATCTGGTCTGGGCTGGATTTTTTTAATGTATGCAAGAAATAAATACATACAGTGTTGGATATGCTGCTGACTATTGTCATCAAGACAGACAATTACACTGGGGAAGGTGCGGACAGAAAGCTGGAAGTTTAGTCATTAAGGACATAACAGCTGTGACACCTGTCTGGACATTAGTGTATTATCTTGGATTAGTATACCATGGTTTCAAGATGCATTTATGAACAATCCAGTGGGAAACTAATATTTCCATGATAGAGTCCCATGGAATATATGGTATTACCCTGATTTCGTTTGGATCTTCTGTAGGGCTGTAAACTCTTTAAGACATATATCATCCTGTTGCCTTGATTGTACTGCATATACTACAGTGAGATTCTAATCCACTGCAAGGGTTCCTACTGGGCCATTAGTGAATGTGGTCTGTGTTATTTTACTCTCACAAATTGCTTCTTCCAAATCCTAGAAGATTTGGAGAGGCTAAATCTGCATTGTGAGAAAGCACCTGATTTTTGAGCTTTTACTCTCAGCTAGAAATTTTCCTCTCTCATTTGCCCTAACAGGTAAAGCAACATGCAGTTACAATTTCCTATAGCACTGAAAGAAGAAAAGCAGAATCAGGATATCCACTTTCATAGGCTCATTTCGAGGTTAACACAGGTAGAAAAGACCTATATTTTGAGGCCCCATGGTTAGCAGCTCTTAGAATAGCTTGGAAGATGAAGAACAGCCTGTCTTGGATGAAAAATGCTTGCTGTTTTTATTTTCCTTACAACAGCAACCTCTCTAGGAGTGTGAATTTCTAGGCAGAGACCATGTGACAAGCAGTAAGGATTGGTTTTTCAAACCGCAAAGCCACTCCTCTGTGGAATAGACTAAATCTATGGTATTTCTCTAATGGTGAAACATTAGGGCTTGGCAGACTGCAGACTGAAGCAGAGACCACGATAGAAGTCTGATAAAGAGACCAATACATAAAGCTTTTGTAGAGGGAATAGTGTGTACTTGTAATCAGTAGGATGCAGTGGACTGGCCTCTAATGGATTTCACAGTAAATATCACTATGTCTGTCTTGTCCCTACCCCATTGTGAACACTTAGAGCGCCTGGGTATTGCTAAACCATTTGCAAATGATGGTTAATATTATGTCATATCAATGCTGGCCCTATCTGTCTTTCGGGAAAAAAAAAATACACACATTGGAGTTGAAGCACTGATACATTTTTAATGAACATAATCCATCTTCTACAAGCCCAAGGGAACCTTTTTCTATACGCTCTGCAGACTGACAACCAATAAATGGTTTTGTATACGTGGTGTTCAGGGATTCCTAGAGCCATCACACAGCAGGCATCAGCATCCCAACACAATCTTCCTTTGGACACCAGTGAATCCAATGAATTTCTTTTTACAATTGCCATGTATTGTGCTGACTTAAGATGTGTAAGTGGCTACATATCTATTAGAGAAAATTAAAAAATAGGAAAATATTTACTGAGGAAATAACTAAAACATTTACCAGCTGCAAAACACTGTCACTCAAAACACAGCTAATTCCCCTTGTCACTTATGTATAAAGCATTTGTTAAAGTAAATTATGTGCATTTCCTGGTGCTTCATCTTTTGAACTACTAATGCCATCTGCATTAATATGTAAGTGCATATCCCAGAGAGACACTTACATCTAAAAATCTAGGGAGTTCATCACAGCTGAAATACAGCCCGCAAGGTCTCCAGGTGCATTCTGCAGAGAAAAAAGAACAAGGATCCTAGCATCAGGACAAGAGCCTGACAACAGTAATAGTTCTGTTCATGAGGCCCTGTCTTCAGAGAAAAACAGGGAATTCCCTTTCACCAGAGTATTCTCCACCATTGATCCAAGAGAGAAGAACTTGAATTCCCATAAGCATCAGAGAAGACTGGGATAAGGCATGATGATAGTCTTAAGCTATATTTGAAAAGAACTGCAATAAAAAATAAAATTATTTAAAAAAAAAAAAAAAAAAAAGGAATTCAACGTGCCTGAAACCAAGGACAGTCAGACCAGACTTTAAGAAGGAAAGGCTTTCAGTAGCAAGGACAGTGGTGGGTAGGAGTTGATTCTACTTTGTTGCAGAAGTACAGCCTACCTCAATGACTTCCTCAAGGCTGCAAGGAGAAACAATTGTTAGGCCATCCTACTCCGATGGCCAAACAACAAGTTGCAAGTTGCAGACCATTTGAAGATTACAGTCTCTTTTAGATTATTTGCCATCTAGAGGGAGATTAATGAATTTCCCTCTCCCTTTCTTTTTTTTTTCTTTTTTTTTTTTTTTAATTTATTTTAATGTAGGAGAGGATGCATAGTATCATGTTTGCAACCTATAAATACTAAGGCATAAAGAAAAGATTTCTCATTGCAGATGAATATAGCACTGCATTTTAGTCTCCAGCTGAACTGGTGAACACATTTGGGAAACCAAACAAACAAACAAAAAAGCTATTTCTGCTATGCATTCATAGTCAGTTGTATGGTGACCTGAGTAATGCAAACACACTGTTTCTCCTGTGTTTATAAACACCCATATTATACGTCTTATGCATTTTGCAAATTGTTCATCAGATTCTATTTTTTCCCACTTTCACCTATTTTATTTTTTATCATTTTTAAAATTTATTATATCTGGTAGACTGTATGCCACCTTCTCATTTCAGCTATTACTTAGACAGTTAAGGGTTTTATTTATTTATTTATTTAATTTATATTGAGGGGTTTCATATTGTTTATGAAGTTCCTGACTCTGCTGTCCAGCCTACATTTGCCCATTTCTAAATGTTGTGAACAGATCATATATATTTGCTCTGCACCTTCATCATAGTGGCTTAAATACTTGCTAGGTATTTTTAACTTCTTTTAATTTATTTTGAACAAACCTCATAATTTTATGCATTTCTCTTATTTGAAATGAAAGTAACCATGGTAGATAGCTTTGCCTGTTGTTTTACCTACACGGATGTTCTGCTGTATGATTGTTGTTACCAAGCAGTACTTCAATAGTAACGTATTGAACCATGTCTTCTGTGTTGTCCAGGTCCAGGTCAAGTTTTGCTTCTGTTCTTGTCAGGATTGTGACTAGCTGCTTCTTTAAGTATGCATTGAGGGTGTTTAGCAATTTTGTTGTGGGTCCATATTGCAAAGTAACATTCATCTTCTATATGAGGAGTACTTTTCCATCGCTACTACAAAGTACTCCATTTCAATAGCATTTCTGTTTTGCAGTTTCTCTGATTTGTCATAACATCATGCATCCAGTGTCCCTTGCTTGTTGAAAAGGAGAAAAGGGTTTAAACTTTACAGAAAAGTCCCTAAGGTCAGTGCTAAGATAACCACTTACTCCAGCAGATAATGTGTCACATCTACTCCTCTGAAGATGGTAGTAGCGATTGCATCTGCCCCAGTGATGAAGACTGTTGCTGATTTGACCTGTGGAGCAGCTCAGCTTAGAGCAAAGTTCTTCTAAGAGGGCAGGTGTCACAGTTCTGTGTTATGATTTGCATGGTAATGGCTTTTGAAGCACCTCCTTTGTGAAAGCATTTGAGGAACTCATGGGGTATAGTGTAGTGGAAAATGCAGAATGTTCTTTTCTATTGCTGAAAATATTTTCACCATTTTTCCCTGCAGACATTGCAATCCTTGGAATGGACATTGATCTGCAAACCATAGAGGACAATGTCATCAGCTTGGAGATGCTGTTTAAAACATGGCTTCATGACTGTGGCTCAGAGAGAGAACACCTCCATCTCCTCCTTCCATCAGGAGGCTCCAGCTATGCCACTGCACCCAAGACCACCCTAAGTATTTAATTTTCTCTCCCTCTCTGCAGGGGATCCTGACTCCCACAACCTTAATGATTACCCAGGCCTGTGCTGGGCATGTTCCCCTACATATTGAGATTCAAGTAAGGCCTCTGGGTGACACTGAAAGATGTCTGAAGTTTCTGTTGTCTGAGTCTGAGGGGCCATCTCCTTAGAATGTGTCTAAGTTGTTGTGTACTGTGGTTGCTGATGCTATCGTCCATTTCCATTCTGCAGCTACGATGTGCTTTGAAGAGCATGTGACTTTATAGCCACTGGATCAAAGTAAAGGGGCCTTACATACTGAGAGCCAGAGACCTTCTGGCTGTTACATAGCTCTAAAATTGTGTTTCTTGTGCTTGATGCTAAGGGTCACTTAAGTAAAAGCTGTCTTACAAAGTGACTTGGCATGTATTTTTATTTATTGACTTAGAACTGAAATAGGTAACATAGCTAGACCTGCCAACACACTGGAATATTTATAAGGAATATATATATATATATTTGTTTTGGTTTGTTTTTCCTTTTAAGAGCCTAACACCAAGTTCCTAACCCACGCTTGGGCAAGCGCTGATAACACCAAAAGCTACAGGAGATAGAAGTGCTTCCCCTAAGTAGCTGTTAGCTGTATTATGCTGCCATGGATATCTGCACGTGCAGTACCAGCACCCCCCCCTTTCCATGCTGCTCCAATATGGCTCTAATGTGCTACTTCACATTGCCTTGGCAGTAGAAGCACACTTGTTTTCTGCTAGTGGTCCACAGACTAGCTCTAGACTGGAAGCAGAGCTCATAGAGCGGTCAGTGCTGGTGGCTGTTGGAGATAGGTTTCACAGCAAACAGATCAGAAAGCTTGGTGTGACTTTTTATTTACGTAGTAGCTACCATAACAGCCTCCAGATCAGTGCAGACAATTATGTTTTATTCTTAAAAGTTGATTTTCCTTCATCATAACATTGAATTTCACAATCAATATATTGTATTACTGTAGCTAGCAAGGCAAACCAGGTTTCTCAGCAGTCAGGTTTTTTCACCTTCCCACACTCAAGAAGTCTTTAGAAAGCCAGGGAATGTGTATCTTGCAATATAACTTACTATACCAGTGCTGGTATCCTCAGTCTAGCAGATTTCTCCACAAACATGGCTAGAGAAGCTGGCAGGAAATAGTATGGCCCTGAACCCTGCGTGGCATTGGGAAAGATGCTTCTGCTCCCTCTTCAGCTGGCCACACATCTCGAAAAGTGGAACTTGCCTGCGGGGTTTAGCAACCAGTCATTGTTTCATTAATGTGCCAAGCATGTGGTAGCTCCTTTGGGAGAAAGCTTGTTGCCTTCTTTTGCCATAGGCTTTAACGCTGTTCTTCCGGAGAGGGAGACATATGGCTTAATTTTTAGGTAGTCCTGTATGGAGCCAAGTGTTGGGACTCAAAGATTCTTGTTGTGACCTTACAACTCAGGATATTCCATGATTATATTATTCCCTTAATAGTTGCTGTTGCTAGAAAACATTAAGTGTATGTAAATGCTTTGAGCATGTCGTGTGCTACACGTTGCCATTTCCAGCAGTCTAAACCAATTTCCTTCTCCTAGTATGCCTGAAGTGTGATTTACAGGAAAGACTGCTTGATCCAGCTCTGCTTTTGGGGACTGCTGATGGCACCATGAAAACAGCTGATTCAAATTCATCCTGCCAGATGACAGCCTGGCCAGCTACAGTGCTGTATAAACTCCAGGTTGTAAAGTAAGTGTTATGTTCTTTGTGCTTGGTAACTGGAAGGCTCGTATAGAAGTAACCTTAATTCTTTCTGTGCAATTTCAAGCAGGAATCAGTAATATCAATATTAAGTGCTGGGGACTCAAAGAGCTTGTGAGCAAAATTCAACTGTAAGACACCCACATCCCCTGTATCTCTTAATGTTACGGATTAGCACATCCCACACATGCTGACAGGTGTGCAAAGTCAAAAAATACTGTTACCACGACACTAGCACTTTTGAGTGTAAAAACATAGATATTATTTATGTAACAGTTGTTTCCTTCCAGCGTGAAGTCTTATAGGTTGTAGCCATTGCCCAATATATGATATTGCTGTTCTCTCACTACCTAAATGCAAAAAAAAAGCAATGAAAGCTTCACAGTGCTGCATGACTTCAGGTAAGAATTTATTTGCTTTCCCATCAGCAAGCTCTGCTGGTAGGCACAGAGAATAACAAGAAGAGTGATACTCTCTAGTGTCTTTTCTGAGCTTTGTTTTTATTTAAAAAGTTGTGTAATTTCTGAACTTCTTTTTGTACAATTTTTCTTAAAATGATTCTCAGCCTGTCAGTAGTTGAAGAGCACTCAGTAATTGCGCATAAATGGCCCACATCCAAAGCACTTCAGCTACTTAGCATCTATCGGCTCTGTCATGAAGCATAAGTGTGCTAGGGACAACTTCAAATATTGAAAACTATGTGGTAGTGTTTGAGGTGGGATCCTGGCTGTGTGCAGGAGCAGAGCACAACCTCTCCATTTAAGTGAAGGATAACCACAATATACTAAAGTCACGTAGGAAGGGATGTAACTGCCTGAGTGAGCTATTGCCCAAGAAGCCAGATTACTAATCTGTTTTGTATTCAAAATGCATGAGGGTTGGACATGGTCCATGGCATGCTCTTGACAACACAGACACAAGGGAATCTGGCAGCATGCTGCAGGATGCTGAATTCCATGCTGATCATCAAGAAAGCCTTGGATGGCAGTTCTTTCCACTGCAACTGACCTTTTTTTCCAGGGTTTCATAGTGGCAGGCCACAGTATTACAGACATTTGTAGCAGTATTGCAGCTGATACTGCCATAGCCATTTGAGCTACTCGTCCCCCTGCAGTCTCGTCTTGGCAGTTTCATGCTGGCTGTGCTTCATTAACATAAGCTATACATTTACAGAGCTCTGAAGTCCGAAGGTGTCTGTGAGTCTGTACTGTATGGACTGCCTTTCATCATCAAGCCCACAAGCTGCTGGCAGCTAGACTGGGATGAACTGGAGTTAAATCAGCATAGCTTCCATGCTCTATGCCATAGTCTTCTGGTGAGTGTAAAATTGCAGTCTCGTGGGGAGGGATTGACACAGAAAGGAATTGTTAGTGCACATCTAGTAAGATCTATCTAGCCTTCACCAGAAAACATGTTTCAAAATTTGCAGCTTCATCTCATGGGCCAGGGTTGGGCTTGTAAGTCCTTCCAGCCAATGCAACCACTGGAAAGAAGATACAGCACATCAAATCTTAAAGGTGCTCTAGCCTATCAAAAATCCAGTGTTTGGAGTGCAAAGTCACAAAAGGAGTTAGACAAGCATTTTTAACTGTGAAAATAGTTAACCAAGGGTTGGAATGTGGCAGACTTTCCATTACTAACAAGTCTTAAATCAAACTTGGATGTTTTCTTAAGAATTGTCATGCATTCAATTAGAAAAAACTCAGGTTGTCCTCAACCACAGTGCAGATTAGTGTTCTTATTCTGATACATATGAATGACTCTCTGCTCCTGAGCCCAGCAACCCATACAGCAAAAATGCTGATGGAAGAGGCTATTGCACCTTTTTTTCACGTTGATTTTGGTGTTTGCTATCTAGAAAAGGAAGTGGATGCTTTTGGCCAAACTCGATCCACAGAACACTTGTCCAAGCTGGAATATCGTGGTGCATTCCTACTACATCATTGTCCCTTCTGACTCTGCCACTCTGCTTGTCAAAGCAATCGCTGTAAGAGAGCTCCTGATGCCATCAGTCTTCCCAGCCCTCCTTGCTGAGCATCCTGAGAGTGTGCAGGGCCCTATAGAGGTAAGTCATTGATGGCCCTACACAAAAATATGTGGAAAGGATCCCAGCTATACAAGCAGGGATCTGAGTAACAATCCCTTCACGCACAGGGAATGCAAATGCTACTGAGGCATACTTACCTCCCGTGCTCCTGGGAAACATGGCAGACTGCAGACATGTGCTTTAGGCATAAGATACATCAACGCAAAAGCTCTCTTGATGTCTTCCAGTAGCTTCAGGCTTCTGCACTTCCTCTTGTGCATCCATACGTTCTTCTCCTGAGTTTTCTGTGTCTGCTTCAGGTGATGCCAGAAAGGGCAGGGCTCTCACTATAGGTCTTAGATGAACAGAGGAGGAAACAGCTGTGAAAATGTCCAGTGGTGACTGGAACATGATGAACTTTTCCAAAATTTATTCCCAGCAGCCAATATGTCCTACAGTTTTCCTCACAGACAGAAAAATGCTTGTCCTTTGGAACAATGCTGCTATGTGGGAAAGCAACTTCTATCAGCTTCTGAGGCTGAGAGGGCAGCAGAGAAAAGGCATTGGTTGTGAAGGAAAGGTGCAAGCACCATGTGGTGGAGTTGGTAGGGCAAATGGAGGTATATCTACTGAGGGGCAATCTACTGAAGAATTATTGAGGATAACAACATGTAGACAGGGTGCTACAGCTTGTTGTCTGATTTCAGGCATGGGGGAGGATAGGACTGTATCCTGCAAGGGAAAGCTTAAATCCACTGAGACCTGGTTGCAGATGCCTGTTGCTCTATACACAGCTAAGAGCAGTCCTTGTGGGCTGCAGCACAACCAAAGAGCCCATCTTGCTTCAGCATGCCAAGAAGTGTCATCCATCTCTCAAAAAAAAAATTCTCTCCCCCCCCCCCCAAAAAAAACCCAAACCAAACCAAAACAAAAAAAAAACTATGCTAATGATAATAAAAGCCCACAGCCTTCACCTGGCATATCTCATTACCACCAGGTTCTTTCTTCTATCTGAGCAGACTGCCCTGAACAGCTTGGAAGTGGAAGTTACTTATAACCCCTTGCACCTGAAAAGCAATCTGTACAAACACCTGAAGAGTATATTGTACAGACCACTGCACAGGCAGCAGGCCCAGCACAGGGACCAGCGACCAGAGCGGCATCAATCCAAGCAGGTATGACTCTTGCCTTTGACTAGCCTATGTAGACCCTGTCTTGTCCTCCTGGTCTGCTTCTTGCAGAGGGGAAATGGGTAACCCCCGATAGCCTGACAGTACAGGGAAAGCAGCACAGGGCAGCAACAACATTCACTTGTAGCTGGTAGAGCTGTGAGTGGGGTATAGCATATCCTTGTGCTATGGGGGAGATAGGTGCTGACCAGCTGGCACATGCAGACAAAGACAGCATGCTGAGAGCTGTTGGAGAAGCCAGCCCCTCCTTCCATGAAGTGCATTCATATTTTTCTCCCTGCATTGCAGCATCAGAGCAGAGCCAAAGCCACAGTAGCACCCCTTCTGATGGCTCCTTCTCCTGCCCAGTTGTTCAGACCAGCAGTGGTGAAGAGAGATTCCTCTGAGTACTCCTTTCTCCCCAAAGAGGACGATGAGTTCCTGCAGTGAAGATACCCCATGGCACTGCTTACGCCTGCTCACGTGCAGTTACAGCTTGGCTTCTGCTTGGCTGCTAAGGCTTACTCACTGAGCCGGAAGCGGTCAGGCAAGACACTGAGCCTGTCCGTGGTCAGACAGTCACTTCCCATTGTTTGTTCCTCCTTGTTTTATGGTTTTGTTAGTCACTAAGTCAGTCTGCAGGAAGCTTGCTACTCTGGGGCTCCTTGTCCCCTTGCTATTCAGCTATCCCCTGCGACACCCTGTATTTCCCATTCTCATCAGCACACATCACCAACATGCCTCAAATTATGGTTTCTTAGAATAGGCTAGTGCAGCCCACAAACCACAGATTACTGTCAGCAAGTGCAGTAAAGCTGCAGACAGTGTGGTGAGGAAGTCAGGCAGATAGACAAAAGTACAAAGCAATGTCAAACTGCCCTCATCCTGCAGGAGCAGCTTCACCAGGGTGTTTTAATAAGCATAAAACAGGGCTTGTGAATTCACTGTAAAGCCCAGAATGCTATCCACTAGAGCAGCATTATATTTATACAAGACAATGATGACTCGCCTGCTTCCATGGTGGTCTCACCGTCCAACTCCCCAGCTTGCAGATGGGTTTGTAGCAAGTGCCAAGCCACCAGCAATGCCCTGGCTGGGTCCCACATGAGAGCTCACTGCAGCTGGACCCCCAAGCACTCTTCTCTCAGACAGCTGTTGCTTGGATGCACTCCTTCCTGTGTCCTGTCCACACCTACGGTGCCATTCAGCAAGCCAGCACAGTCAGTACATTTTGGACTCATTAAATGGGGAATATAGCCTGGAGCTTTCCAGAGAGCTTCTGCCCAGTGCTAGCACAAATGTGAGCCCCAGTTTTTTCAGTGCAGCAATAGAACAGCTGCTACTGCCAGAGCCGGAGCTGAATACAGTGTGACTGAGCCAAGGGGGGGCAGCCTCACTTGGCTTCCTGGATACTGTACACCACCAGGCATTTACGTTCTACTTTGTTCTGACATGCTGTTTCAAAATAAAGTTCTCCCATACAATATTACCTTACTGCCTGTGGTCTATAATGCATATGGTGTGCAGCAATCCTAGCACTGACCTGCACTTCCTGAGAAACAGCTGCGGTTGACCAAGGGCATGGTGCAGGCAGCACACTCCCCGAGGGACTGCAACAGCAGGAGAGCAGAGTGAGCTGTTTCCTCCAGGATCTCAGCTCAGTAACAGGGCCTGATTGCCACCTATTGTCTACCTGTTCCTGAGGCACGCGCTAAGGTGGCAAAGCACCCAACAGAAGAAAAGGTAATGACAGCACCTGTTTGCCTCTGACACTGGTAGTCTCATCTCAGTCTTGAATCTTAACAGTACACTACTGAGCTGCAGAGGCTTTGATGAGGGCAGCAGTACCCTTCCCAGTGTTGAGAGCAGGGGAAGGAATCACACAGATGTTATTAAGTCTGAGAAGTGCAACCTGCTTCCTCTGCGCCTCTGTGGGAGCTGTGCCTTGAACAACTGCCCGACTACACATCTCTACAGTTGCATGCAAAGCCTGGGTCCACCTTGCCACTGGTTTCTCCTGCATGGGCCTGTTCTTCTCATGCCCCAGGAGCACTCCATACTTGGCAGGAGGTTGCATTGCAGGCAGCTGCTCAGGGCAAGATGTTAAGGGAAGGTACCTCAAGGACAAGGCAGACATCCCTGACAGCATGGGGAGATGCATTTCCTGGGGTATGCAGGTAAGCAGCCAGTCCTTACCTTTTTATTAACAAGCTCAGCGGGTGTGGAACTGGGGAGTGTCCAGTAACAAATGGCAGTAAGGCACATGCAAATCGTCCCACCTGGGGCATGCAAACCAGACAACATAAAAGTGACAAAATCAGAAGATAAAATAATCCACCCCCCCCCCCTCCTTTACTGCTCTGTTGACTCAGATGGAAATTACTTTAGCAACCTTATCAGTGGGAAAAAGTAAACAAACAGACCAGTGGTTTATTGTGACTGGAAGGAGGCTGCTAAAAGGGAAAGTTGTGAAGAGGGAAAAGGGACTATAAAGGGAAGCAAGTCAAAAAAAAAAATGGGGCTGTTGGAGGATTCCTTTTGAATAGCCCTCTACCTGATCACCACAGTACAGTGATCAGCTCCTGACAGCCAGAAGGGACTTGGGTGCTTTCCCAAATACCAACATGGGAACAAATAACCTGGCAGAACAGCTGTCTCACACCTGCACCATGCTAGGGCCCCAAATGGGAGGAGGAAGTGGTTATAAAAGGATGCATTTTTCACAATGGGAAACAGAAAAAGGCAATACAAAGAGGAAGAGGAAGAGGATGACTGGGCAATGGCAGCTCCCAAGTCATTTTCTCCTGGTAAAAACTGCCACCTGGCCTACAGAGACCAAGACTACTTCTTAATCCCAGCCAGTGGCTGCTAGACCTGCTGTACTTGGGAGCATTTTTCAGCTAATCTGGGGTCTGGGCTTTTCACAGAGAACAGGAAGGCACACAGGCTGTCCTCACACGAGGAAGTCTGATATCCAAATGACATTCCATGCTACACTGAGTCTGGCTCATAGCACCCGGACAGGGCATAAGCAAATTTGCTTGTCCAGAACCATTTCTGCAGTGCAAGAAAACACTGAGCCATCAAGAAAGCTGTGTATCCCCAGGCATCTCAGCAAAGCCTTGGCTCAGGACTGGCTGCCAGGATGCTGTTCCCCCAGGTATGCAGACTGCATTCAGCTATGGCACACAATTACAGTGACGTGCCAGGGCCACCTTCATTCTGCACCTGGTCATTTCACTGTTCAACAAATGGAATTTAGTTGTAAGGAGACAGTGGAAGCAGGGCAAAGGGAAGGGAAGGACAGAAGAAACCCTAATCCAGACAAAATCCAGGAGAATCATCTCCTGCTCCTAAAGTTCATTGCAGACATGCTTTGGCTACAGGATGGGTGTGACAAACCAAAGGCTCATTCTGTATTTGCCTTGTTTCTAATGCTTTCCCAAAGCATCTACGGCACCCTGAACTGCTGCAGAATGGAGATAAAGTAGAGCACAGAGCAGCAGTTTGAGAAAGATGACAAATCTGGTCCACAAGACTGAGACAGAAAAAAAAAATGGACTGCTCTCCAGATCAGCAAGAGCCCTCCAGGCTGCATACACTGCTGACACGTGGCAGAGCCCATAAACAGAACAGGCCACATGTAGAAGTGTTCCTCCTGCCTTGTGTTGTTACCTCTTAGTTTTAAGCCAGCTGTTATGAGAGAGGACATCATTGCTGAAGCAAGAAGAACAAATATATTTTCATCCCACCCAAAAGGAGTGCTGCGCTGTGGCAAGGACAATGGTTCTGGCACAGATGCTGGAGCATTTTCCTTCTTCCCTACCAGTCTCTTTCGTGAAAGCTGGGTCAGCTGCTTTGGAGCCAATGCACCACCCTGAGACACAGTGGCAGCAGTGATGGAGATACACAAATACCCACCATAGTATGGAAAGTAGAGCCCCAGAGCTCAGCTCCCAGAAGGCTGCTCATCATCATTTAGGTCTTGGAGCCTGACACTGGAGCCACAAGCAAGGATTATGAGCATGCACAGTACTCTTCCCTTGTGAGGCTGGGCAGACAGCTCCCAGGACATGAAGCACCTGCATAGGGCCACCCAGCAGGCAGGCATGAGGAGGAGACACATGCCTGTATTGGGCTCACCTCAGCCTCTCTCAGGCTCCCAAAGCCACTTACACCCTCTCCCATCTCCTGCAGCAGGGAAGAGGACCAGCACAGGATAACAGTGAAAAATTGGTCCAGGCTACACACATGCTGTACTGTTACAGGACTGAGGAATACCCCCTGCAACTTGGGCACCAAACACCTATTCAGAGCTCGCTGCCTTGTTTCCATCTCCCCACTCCCGGGGCACGAACCTGGCCCTCCAGACTTCCCCACTGGTTTATGACTCCCTGGGTCTGAGCTGGGGCTGGAGAATTCATGCTTAGCTCTCTGCACAGAGATAACAGACTGCTAGGTTGTCAGACCACTGCTCTGCTGCTGTCTCTGTCAACAGGCTGGCAAACCAGCCTGTCAACAGGCTGCCCCAGACTCAGAGACAGACAACTCCAGGATGCCTGACACAGCCCTGCACGGAAGGAACAGAAATTCTCTCATAACCATTACCAACATGAAAAGGGAAACCTATTTTCCCTTGCACAAGTTTCTGTCCAAGGATAGCCACACAGCACTCACAGCCAAACCCCTCACCTCAGACCACAGTCAGATCACAGCATTTGCCATTAAAGTTAATGGAACCCAGACCGCACCTTCTGAAGGTGGGTGGTGGGAGGAAGGGAATCAGAAGGATGAGGCTGGGGAGGAGGGACCCTGTGACCAATCAACAGTCACTGAGCTCCAGCACAGACCTGGAGCCTGGTTCTGCCCAGCCTTAAGCTTGGAAAAGACCTGCACTTGCTCAAGTCATCGCAGCATTTCACATCCAGACCAACACTGGCATCCGTGAGTTTGACACATGTGCCTTAACATGCTGGCATCAGGGCATCCTAGCCACTGCTGGACCTGGCACCCACTTTCTTTGCAGTTTCCCCTTAGCTCAGCAGCTCTGGCGCAGATAGACTGGCATGAGTGTGAGAGTGTGAGCACCACTCAGCAGGGGCACCAGGCACCACAATGATGCAGTGATGCACCAGCATTTCCCCAGTCATGTGCCTGACAGTCTAGACATGCTACATGCAAACACTTTGTTATGAGACATACAGATTTTAATATCAAAATACTTTTGTATAAAAATACTTCTGGAGACTGATTGCAAGCAGTCCTCCAGGCATTGCAGTAGACATCTCAGCCCTGTGGCCTACCCAGAGAAGCCAGAGCAGAACCAAAGCCTCTGGATTCGCAGCAGCAGGCACAGTGCGACACAGCCAACCCTCCTGCCACATCAGGAGGTGTCAGAGGAGCTGGCTTGAGCCAGGAAGGGCACCTACAGCAGCTGCAGCATTCTGGCTCCCAGGTGTGGGAAGGACCCAGGGAGATGCAGTCCCTGGGTGCTCGTGAGCAGGAGGGGCTCTGCCCAGTCCCACACAGTCCCCAAACCCAAGCCACCCACAGGACCAATGGAGGACGGTAGCCTGTGCCACTCACAAGTGGGTCCAGGCCCCACAGTCTCCCCCAGACAGGTACAGAGCAGTGGCATGTTATATCTCTCCTAAGTCCTCATAGACAGGTGACAAGCTGCACTCATCCACAGACTGCTCCTTCTTCTGCCCTTGCTGGGGCTTCACCACCTGGCTGTACAGCACCTCCACTTTGTTATTGTTGTTGCTGCTGCTGTTGAGGCTGGGTTTGATGACTGCCTTCTCAGAAGCAGGGTTCCCTCGCCGCTTGCCAGGGTCCCCACTTCTTTCGACACCTTTGGGGATAAATGCTGCTGGGGGCTTGGGGGCAGGCACTGGCTTAGGTCCCTTGGCCTTGGCCTGGAAGGCAGGAACTGAGTAGTCATCAGTGCTGGGGTTATAGGGATACTCGTAGCCGCCCTTGCCATCGTGACCCTGGGTACGCCAGGCCTCGCCCGTGGGCCGCGCTTCATCATAGATGCAGGCAGCAGAGGGTACTGCACGTGGAGCACGGCCCTCGGGCTCATCATAGATGTGCTCCTTCTGCCCAGGTTCCTGGCTGCGAGCCTCAGCCCGGACCTGCTCATAGGCGCCCGTGTACAGTGGTGCTGGCACCCGGAGCTTCGCCTCATCTGGGGCCCCACTTGCGGCCTTGCTGTCAACGGGGTCCGAGTACAACGGGTCCAGCCAGGGCCGGAAGCCCTTCACCGAGTCCAGGGGCTCTGAGTACAGGCTGGAGGGGTCCTCAGCCAGTAGCGCAGCTCGTGGTGCCTTGGGCAGAGGGGAGCGCGGGGGCGTGCTGGGGACGGTGGGCTTGGCCTGCAGCACTGGGGGCTCTGGCAGGGTCCGGTTCTTCAGCAGAGACACCGTGTCTCTCTCCTCCGCTGCAGCAATGGACCTGGGTGCCAGTCCTGCTTTGGGTGCTGCAGTGTCGTCCCCCTCCACGGGCAGCTCTAGGCTCAGAGAGTCGGCCAGGGCCTGGCGAATCAGGACCACACTGGGGCTGTCTGAATCCAGTGAATCACAGCTCTGCCGGTTCTCCTCCACCTGTGCTTTCTGCTCCCGGATGGAGTCTTCCACCAGGCGGAAGATCTCATTGCCTTGCTTGGTCTCAAAGGTGAAGTTCCCTGGGCCAGAGTCACAGCGCCGGCCAGCTTCAAAGGAGAACATCACCTGCAATAGAAGCCAAGTGTCACGACTTTCAGCACCTACCCTTCCAGAGCCTCACACAGGCTGTATTCTGCTGACATGCACTGGCTGTGGTGCTGGTCCTGCACACCTTGCAAGAGAGACTTCAGTGAGCACCCTGCTCCCTCAGCTCCCTGAGGGAGCAGGGTGAGCAATTGCTTAGCAGGGGAAATCATTGTTGGCATCTTGGGTCAACCAGCATCAGTCAGGGAGAAGGGAAGCAATCCAGAAACAAGATCCAAGAGAGAAGAGTACAGCTTTTCATGAGAGAAAGGCCAGAAGCAGCAGCTTGCCTACCAACAGTAAGCAAAGCATTTGCCTTACAAGCACTACTGTTAATGGCATGAAGTACTTTAAAGAAAAGTCTTGCACCAAGGCTGCGTTCCTTAGGCCTGAACAGACTCAGGCATAGGTTTCCACCAGCAGAAGTCCAGACCCTTCTTGGACCTCTGCTCCTGAATCCAGGGGAGATTTTTCTGTCTTACTGGTGTTGATATGCAGCAGCAGTCTCTTGGGTTACTACAAAAGCCTCTGGGGCCAGACTTCCTTTGTGGGTCAGTGCTGCCAAACACAAGCACAGCCAACCTGTCATCACTGGTGACCTGAGTGTGCAGTCACCTGCTCCTCACACAACTTGGTTCTCATCCTGCCCCGGCATAGATCCTGTGGATGAGCCAGCTGCCTCCCCAAGAGCAGCTTGGTGTCTACTTCTGTTTTGGTAAAGTGACGCAGAAAGTGCCACTAGCAGGCTGCAGCTGACACCATTGCTTCTATAAACAGCCCTGGGGAGACCACTTCCTCTGCCTCCAGCACAGCAGGTACATTTTATGCTCAGTGTAGCAGGAGGACAGGTGGGGGAACCCACTTCTACACGACACTGGGGAGGCCTGCACAGGTCAGCTAGGCTCATAGCAGTGTGCCCCATAAGATGAACAACTATATATATAACATATAATATAACAAACATATAATATAACAGGTGTCTTGAACAACCCCTCCCGCTCTGGCCACTGTCCTACAGGAAGGATGGACGGCATCCAGGGAGTACTTGGAGCTAGGCCTGCAGACAGCTGAGCTCCCTGGCAGGTACAGCATGAACAGACACACAGCTGGCAGCACAGGCTGGGAGTGGAGAATGGGGGTGGGCAAGAGCTTCAGTGGCCTCAATGGGAGTGTTGCAAGAACTGCACAGAAAAATGCCCTGCAGAGCCGGGTCCCTGGCAGGGATGGGAGCCCCACAATCCACGCTCCTACGCGGTGACACATGTGGGGAGCTGGGAACAGACCGAGGATCACAGATACCCCAGGGACCCCACTGTGGTCACCGTGGTCTGTAGCACCTCTGGCATTTGACAGGGCCCACAACACGGCTGCCACAAGCAGGTCTGGCACAGCAGTAAGGGACAGCCTGTGGGGGCACGGGCAGGCCCATGGCATGTATGGCTATACACCCACCTTGTCCCGGCCGTATCTCCGAAGCAGCCGGTAGGGCCAGACATAGAGGGTCTCGTTTGTCCGTGGGTCCTTCAGGACAAGGCTGTCACGCTCAGCCTTGAGCACATAGGCACCACGTAGCTCACATCGCTCTGCAGCCTCGGTCCGCTGCACTGTCACCCAGAATGCGTTCACTGCAGGAATGGAGGTGCTCAGGGGAGGCAGAGAAAGCCCATCCCCTGTTCCCCGCAAGCCCCGGCACTGCCCACCAGAGCCTCTGCAAGGGCACAGCAGCAGGACAGCACCAGGGAAGGGAGGCCCAAGGCCAGTGCAGGGCAGGTCCCACCTTCATCTCTCGAGTAGTAGATGGAGTTCACAGCCATCTCCAGGGCCGGTGCCTCCCCGTTGTCCTCTCTGCCACGCTGGGCTGCCACGCCAGCATTGCTGGGGCCATTCCCCTGACAAGGGAGAACAGATCAGTCCCAGCCCCTCCACCCACAGCAGCCCCGCTCCCCTCCCCAGACTCCTTGCAGCCATTGACCCCAGTCCCACATCCCCTGGGTCCTGCCACCCTCACCCACCTGGTCCCACACAGCTCAGCTGCACCAAGCTCAGTGCACGGGACAGGGTGCAGATGAAGCAGTCCCCCCAGACCCTCCCTCCGGCACAGTGTAAGCAACCACCAACATGGACCCCAGGACCACATGTGCCCACTCCACCACTGCTCCTTTGCAAGCTCCAGCTTGGGCTTGTCCGTGCAGGTGCCTGGTGTGGAGGCAACAAACAGCTCCACTTCCACACACATGCACTCCAGCGTGGGCAACTTTGGTACCCAACGCATGGTGTGGGTCCAGGCACTGCGCCAGCCACACAAACTAGGGGGGAGCTGATGAGATGACCCAGTAACACAAGGGACTGCGTTCTTCTGCGCAGGCAGGCAGGAAGACAGTGCCAGTATTGGTGCTCAGACCGCAGAGGGAAGCGAGCACTTCTACTTTTAGCATATGCAGAACTGAAAGCGCAACGCACACACTCTGCCAGAGGCCATGTCCCCACAGCAGGGTCCCCTAAGGGCCCGTGTGGGGGATGCACTCCTGGTGCCACCAGGGGAAACACATGGACCCTCCTCCAGGACAGCCCCCCACACACCAGAGGCTCACAGATGCCCTGCAAGAGCTATTCCAGCAGATTTTGTGCTTCTGCACAAGGGTCTGGTCTCAGACTGAGCCAGAAGCTGTTTCTCAGGGTCACGTGGGAGGGATGGGGTTGCAGCAGAGCGCACATCTTGCAGAAGGCAAGCTGTCACAGTTTCGGTTTAAAAATGGTCACATGAGCTCCTCAACTAGAGGTGAGGCCCAAACAAGGCCATGAGGCCCCTCTCTTTCTCCTAAAGAGAATGGGGAGTGCTGAAACACAACGTCTGAGAGCAGCAGCTCTCCTGTTCAGCTACAGCATCCAAAGAAGTAGAACTCCAGCCTGGAGTCAGGCAGCGAAGAGCCCCGGAGGGCTGCTTGACTGCGCCTTCCCTCATCTTCAAAAGAAAAAGAAATTCTGTTCTGAACTCAAATCATCTCTTCCCACCCCAGTTCCCAAGCTGTCAGACCCTGCTCACCTTCTGGGTAGCAACAAACACCACCATACAAAGTCATGCTCTCCAAGCAGATGAGCAAAAATTATAACCAAGGACCTTTAGCTTCTTGCTGAGAGAGCACACGTAGCTCCCATGTCTCTTGCTCCAGTGCCATTCTCACAGCCCTTTGCCAACCTCTTCCTAAACTGTTAACTTGCTCCTGGACCTCAAGCACACAACCAGCAACTACCAAGCAAATTAAGGCACAGACACAGCCCTGCTCTGAGCAAATGCTCCTTGCCTTTTTGTTGCCCTTGCCAAGCTGAAGGCCTGTGATGGATTCCCAGCTAAGCCCCGAGAGCCCTTTCCAGGACAAAGGCTGCCAACACCATCTGTGTGAACAGTGCCATGGAGTGACTCCGAGTGCCTCTTGGCTGGGCCAACTGGCAGCCGGTGGCAGCAGGGAGATGCTCGAGGCAAGTCATGCTCAGTAACACCTGGGTTCTTGTGGGAGGACCCTGGGGCTGCCAGCTGTGCAGCAGCCATCTTGCAGGGCAGCCCAGCCCCACACACACAACCTGCAACTGGCAAGCACAACCCAGGGCTTCACAGCCCATCCGTCCTGGGAGGGAGCGTGGAGCACCCGTGGAGCCAGGCAGGCAGGCACGGCCCTTGTGGAGCAGTGCGGATGGCAGCACCTGCGGGCCACTGCTGTCCTGCACACCGCCTTGACGAGGAGGCGGCACACAGACTGACCGCCAGTGCTGGGGAAGGCCGGGGGAGCCCAGGGGCTGTGCCGTGGGCCCAGCACCGACAGCACGTCCCCAACACCAGGGAGCGACCCCTGTGCTGGGCAAGGGGCTGCCCCGGGACTCGGGCACCCCGACGTGCTCGGGGCTCCGCTTCCACCGCGGGAAAGGCAGCGGCAGCTGGGCCAGGAGCAACCGCTGCCCAGCCGGCCCTGCCAGACGCCCGGAGGGGCCGAGCAGGGCTCCACGCGGCAGCAGCACGGGGGGGGCGGGCGGAACCCCCGGGGCAGAGGGGCCCGGCGCCCCCCGCCCCCCGCCCGCCGCCACGCCGGGACCCAGAGGCGCCCCCCCCGCCCCGCTCACCGGGAAGGCGATCTCGCACAGCTTCGCCACCCACTCCTCGCTCTGCTGCTTGTCGGCCGCCAGGAGGTAGCTCCTGCCGCTGGTCTCCAGGCGGAAGGCGACGGTGCCGGCGCGGGGGCCGCTCTCTGCGGGCGCGGGGGCCACGCTGGTGCAGTCGGCCAGCCGCACCACCGTCTTGTCCAGCCGCCGGGTGCCCAGCCGCCCGGGGGGCCCCGCCGGCTCCTTGCAGTCGAAGAACTCCAGGCGGGCGACGCCGTGCTGGCTGGCCGGGAACAGCGCGAACCAGCCCCGCTTCCACCTCTGCAAAGCACCAGGGTCACCGCGGGGCCGCCCCGGCCCGACCCGGCCGACCCCGGCCGCCGCCGCCGCCCGCCCCTCGCCGCCCCGCCCGGCCCCTCGCCGCCCGGTGCCGCCGCCGGCAGAACCCCCCGGGCCGACTTCCCCAGGCGCCGGCCCGGCCCAGACGGCTCAGGCAGCGCCCGGCCCCGGCCCCGCCGCCCGTCCCGGCGGGGCGCCGCACCTTGGTGCCGAACTTGTGGCTGTGCTGCACGAAGAGCGGCCCCTCCTTGGCCGGCGGCTCCATCCCGCGCCCGCCGCTCCCCGCGCTGCCGCTGCCGCTCCCGCGCCGGGCCCGAGCGGCGGCGGCCCCGGGGGGCGGGGCCTGGGGGCGGGGCCCTGAGGGGGCGGGGCCGGCAGCGCGGCTTCTCCGCGGGGGCTGCGGGCGGGCCCTCGGTCCCCCCGGGCTCCAGCCCGGCCGCTGCACCCCCCCGGTCTGGCCTCGCCAGGGGCCTCCCTGCGCGGCTGCCGCGGGGCTGGGGTGCGTGGGGCGAGCAGGGAGCGGGGCCGTCCCCTCCCCGCAGCCGGGCGGGTGGCGGTGCCCGGACGGCTGCAGCCTCTCGGGGGGGAGCCGGCCCCGCTGCGTCCCGCGGGAGAGCCCTCGGCTCCCAGACCCGCCGGGGCCGCGTCCCGCGCTCCGGGACGGTCCGGAGGAGATGGAGGCTCAGCCCTGGCCCTGTCACAGCTTCCCCAGGTGCGGGGGCCGTCCGACCCCGCAGGTTGGTCTGTGGTGGCAGCTCCTGGGCGAGGATAAGCTCAGAGCAGACGCCGTGAGCCGCAGCCCCTGCCCCAAGCCCACAAGGTGCCTGGAGAGGTGGGCGCTGGGTGTCAGCCCCAGAACCGGCAGGATCGGGCACCTTCGTCCTTGCCCTGAGTACAGGTGTGTGAGTGCCAGAGGGCACAAACGTCTGCAGGGGGAGGGCTTTGTACACACCTGAAATGCTGATCCAACTGCTGATCCAGGGCAGAACACACCCTGTAGGGTAAATGTGGACTGGCCGGTGAATTAGAAGGTGTAGCTCATCAAGATAAAAACAAACACAGAAGAGGAAGGTGTTGCTAGGCATGCACTAGATATGGGCTGGTTCTGCCTTCCAGACATAGGACTCACTGCGTACGAACCTGGGAAAGAAGAGGGACAGAACTGCCATGTCTGGGGCAGGACTGACCCTGTCCCCCTCCCCGAGGAATCTCTTGCAGCTCCCCTGCAGCCTGGTGTCCCCAAGGAAATGGCTGCCAGCACAGCATGGGGCTTGGGCACCCAAGGGCTTTGGGTCCCAGGGCTGCTCCCCCAGACCTCACTCCAGGTAGCAGAGAGGAAATACCTGGGAGTGTGAGAGCGGGGAGCAACCTCAAAATGCCTTTCAGAGACAATGTGATGAATTCAGGGAACTGGAGGTTAGGTCTAATAAAATGCAATCTGAAAACCTGGCAGGGCTTTAATGAAGCCACAGGGCATGATAGAAACCACCCCAGCACTGGGGGAAAGGGAGGGCTTGTAGTTCAGACAATGACCTGGAACTTCAGAAGGAAGTGCACAAAAGTAGAAACTGGGCCAAAAGCCCGGGATAAACAGAACAGCAAAAAATCAAAAAAGCTAAAGTATGATATGAGATGTGACTAGCAAGAAACACAAAGGATCACCAAAAAAAATCAAAAAAAAGGAGGTGTCAGCAAGAGGATGCTGAGCTGTCCATGTGGCCCATTGTCCTGCTGAGACAGAGGGACAGCAGTATGTGCCAGGACTTAAGTGCTCGATGTCTTCCTCCTCTCAGCCCACGCTGAGGAGAGTAGACGCAATCGCACAATTAACACTGTTAACATGAGCAGCAGAGGAGCATGCTCAGGCTAGATAAGGGAAAATGTGACCAGATTAGCTAAACTGAGATTATTGAGGGTGACACTCAGAGCTGGTAGAGGATGGATGTGTTTTCAGAGAACAGGAAAAAGGAGTGACATAGTGACATGGTACCATCTTTGAAAGAAAAAAAAAAAAAAAAAAAAAAAGGAAGTGATGAATTAGAGGCCACTTAGCTCAGCTTCAAAGTCCAAGAAAACCACGGAACCAATACACCCTGTATGCACAGCCCTGCTTAACTTCTCTGACAGCTGTGAATAGGGGATACCAGCCACAACTCTACCTTTAACATGCCATGACCCCGGCTACTGCAGGGGCACTGGGTTGCTCCTAGTGCTGCCCATGCATGCCATGACTGGCTGCTCTGGAGTCTGCCCCAACAGCCTTCTCCAGAGGCCAGCCTCAAACTCAGCTGTCCCAGCAACAAAACAGCACAGGCTAGTGTAGAGGGTGAGGAAGGAGCAAGCACAAGAATGGCCTGTGCCCAGCTATCCCCAGCAATTGCTCTCTGCACATGAATAATGCAGCCTGGCAGAGCTGAACTGGCTTTTCTGCAGCAGCGGCATCTGCCTTGCTCCTTGCATGCAGTTTTTATTGACATGTGTAAGTCTGGTTATGAGCAGTATAATGTATAAATATACTGAGGTGCTGAGGCTTTGAGTGCTCTGGGTGCTCCTTGCAGTGTTCAGCCTTCTCTGTGCCACATCACTGAGCTTTGGGCACACCATGGCAGCCCATGGCACACTCTGAGCATCTCTTCCCTGTCTAGTTGCTGTTGGTCTGTCACCTGGGGGCTCCTTGGTCACCAGATGGCCCAGACACCATCACTCAGCTCCCTAGCACTACATTTACCTGCAAGGGAATGAGGGAGCTGCCACAGATCCTGGCTTTCTAGGCCTCTGACACCCACTTCTCCTGTGAAACCCCATGCTTGTGGGCTGGAAGAAAGTGTGGGTGGCAACAGCTGCTGGGAGGGCACTCAGCAGTGCTTGCTGGAGGAGAGCACCAGTGCTTCTTCTGGCTTGATCACTCACACAGGCATGGACCATGGTAACAAAGCTGTGCACATGGTCCCCATGTTTTAAAGCCACATAGCTGGGAGAGGCTGCAGGCATGCTCCAGAGCAGAGGTCTGTCTTGCAATGAGTCTGACAAGCAGGAAAAGTGGTCAGAAAAAGAGCAGAGAAGCTCAGTGACGACAAACACGAGGTCCCGCATGCAGGCAGGTACCAGCGGCTGCGCAGCTGCAGGACAGGGAACTACTGATGTGGCAGCACTTCTGCAAACCAGAACCTGTGGGATGGAGGGGATCACGAGCCAAGCATGTGTCAACAGCTCAGAACAGTGTGACTAAAGGCAAACAGCAGCCTGACGTTTGCAAGCAGGTGAGTCACGTGCAAGACAAAACAGTCCTGAGCTGCACGGACTGAATGGGTGGGAGACGCATCTCGGCCTGGGCCGGCACAAGGGGCCCAGCGGGGCAGGTGCTGGTGCAGGGGCGAACACGAGGGCAGGTGCGATGCGGGAGCTGCTCCAGGTCTGGAGGGGGCAGGCGACAGCGCGCAGGTACCGCGGAGGAGAAACCTCTGCCGGTGCGGCGGGGGCTGCTGCGGGGCACCGGGCTGGGGGCCTCGGTGCCAGGGGCTGCGGCCGGAACCGGGCTGCGGCTCGAAACCAGGCGCTGCCCCCCCCGGGCAAGGCGGCGGGGACTCCAGCCCGGCGGGGCCGGACACAGCCCCGTCCCGTCCCGTCCCGTCCCGTCCCGTCCCGTCCCGTCCCGTCCCGTCCCGTCCGCGCCCCCCTCCGCGGCAGGGCTGCGGCTCTCGGCTCTCGGTGGGGCGGCTCCGGCCGGGGACTGCGCCCGGTCCCCGCCCCGCGCCCGGCCCCGCCGCGGCCCCACCCGCGGGGCCGCCCCCTGCGCTGCGGCGGGCGCGCTTCTGCGGGGGCGGGCGGGCGGCGACGCGGTCCCTCCGTGCAGCCCTCCGTCCCTCGGAGCGCCTCTGCGGCCCTCCGGCCGCCCTTGCCCGCACCCCTCCATCCTTCCCCGCACCCCTCCCTGCAGCCCTCCGCCCGCCCCAGCGCCAGCAGGGCCGTTCCTGCCCGGTCATGGCGGGGCGGCCGCGCTTCCTCTGCGGCGTGGTGGAAGGTAGGTCCCGCCGGGGCCGCGGCTGGGGCCCGTGCCCCGCCCGAGCATTGCAGGGGCTGGCCCGGCACACCCGGAGCGCACCGCGGTCGGGGGGGGCTGCCGGCACCCGAACCCAACGCGCCCGGGACCCCGGGTATGGGAGAGGCAGCGCCCCGGGCCCCTGCACCACACTGGATTCGCCCGCGGGTTGGGGATCAGCACCCCCGCAGCTCCCCAGCTCATTGCAGAGCGCTGAGGGCCCCTCAGGCATCCCGGCACAGCCCCGCTCCCAGCACCGCGCTGTGGCCCTGCCGCCAGCGCTCCGCGGTGGCTTCTTCTCTGCCCCGGGCACGAGGCCGGCACCCGCTGCGTGCCCTCCTGCCCCTGCCCGCAGCGGGGTGGCGGCTCAGCCCCTGTCCTGCCCCGCTCAGCCCCTGTCCTGCCCCCCTCAGCTCCTGTTCCTGCAGCACGGCACCGCTGGAGCTGCGTGAGGCCGGGCACCTGCTGGTCAAAAGCATTTCCACCTTTTCTGGCAGCACATCACCACGCTGCAGCCCACTGCCTGCTGCCTTGCCACGCAGGGAGGAAGCAAAAACACCAAGCAAATACACACAAATCAAATAGAAAGTGCAGGAACGGGGAAGTTGATCATAAGAAAGAATATGAGTCAGACTAGAATCATCCATATAGGAAAGCTGACCTGGGAGAGAGAAGGACAAAGATGCTGCCATTCCAGAGCCATTCCAGGAGAAGGTTTCTAGACTTCCTACATCCTGCTGTAACACAGGCTCAAAGATGAGCTATCCCAGATGCCCAGAGGCTGGCAAGTAATGGTGTTGACTGGATACTGGTGTGCTCTGGGCTGTCAGAGAGCCAAAGGGCAAACGCACTGCATCATTTATCAGTGCTCATCTATCTCTAAAGCAAGGCACCTGCATCCCCCTCCTTTGGAGATACTGCCACAAGTACAGTTAGGTTTTTGCTCATAGAGTTTAATCTATTTTTTTTTCTGGGTGGAATATGCTAGGGTGGTGCTTTCAGTAGTGCTGCTCTTGACAGTGCACGTGTCATTTCACAGCAAAGTGTGAGTGAGGTTCTTGGAGGCAGATGCTGTGCAGGGACTCCTGATATATCCTGAACTGTGAGCTAAGCAGGAGTTCCCTTAGGCTGGGGAACAGAAAGTCTGTTTCTCACAGAAATACCTTCTTTGGATGAGATGTTTGCTGGGATTCTTGAGTGGCTACAGATTTGGCCCTGTGCACAGTAGGATATGGCTAGCATAGCAAATCTATACTGCCTCAAAGTAGGTGGAAAAGACATGTAGTTGATCAAGCAGGTTGAAAATCCACCTGCAGTGTGGCCCAGCACATCGTTGTCCAAGGTTCATGCTAGGGGGGCTGCAGAGCAGACTCCTGCCAAAAGGAGCCGGGCACAGAGTCCCCTCCAGGCAGAGCCATTCTGGTGCAGTAAGGTGCTGCATGGCAGCACTGGCCTCATGGCAGTCACTGAGAGCTGGCCCTTTTTCCCAGACTAGTGGAGTTGTCGTGACCTGCCCTTGTGCACAGCACATTTCAGCAAATGCTTTCACTTCCCTCAGTCTCTGCTCCTGTTCTTGTCTGCTAGAAAGTGCTTGGCTGATGTAAAAGTTGCCCATGATGTGGAGCCCTTCTGATGCTAGGAGCTGCCTTGATGACTAATTACCATCAACATTCTAAATATAATGTATTTTCTGTGAGCCTTCATATCTGGGCAACATGCTCTCGGTGACCCTGCTTGAGCAGGGGGTTGGATCAGATGACCTCCAGAAGTCCCTTCCAACCTCAACCATTCTGTATTCCTGTGATTCCTTGACTGGACTGCGTGGCTGAAGAACCTTTTCTTGCTAAATTTGAGATCTGTGTTTGAACACTTCCAACACTTTATAGCCCAGACAGGAATGTTGATGCTCTGCTTGACGCAGCTTGACACTACACAGAGAGGGAGATGCACAGAGGATCCATCCAGAGGGACCTGGACAGGCTTGAGAATTGGGCCTATGTGAATCTAATGAAGTTCAACAAGTAAAAGTGCAAGGTGCAAGTGCAAGGTCGGGGTAGTCTCAGACATGGGTACAGACTGGGAGAAGAAATTGAGAGCAGTCCTGCAGAGAAGGGCTTGGGGACGAAAATCTCAACATGAGCCAGCAGTGCACACTTGCAGCCCAGCAAGGCAACTACATCCAGAGCTGCATCAAAAGAGGAGTGGCCAGCAGGTCAAGGGAGGTGGTTGTCCCCCTCTGCTTTGCCCTTGTGAGGCCTCACTTGGAGTGCTGCGTCCAGGTCTGAGGCCCCAGCACAGGAAGAACATTGATCTGTTAGAACGGGTCCAGAGGAGGGCCACAAGGATGATCAGCGGGCTGGAGCACCTCTACTATGAAGAAAGGCTGAGAGGGCTGGAGCTGTTCAGGCTAAAGAAGAGAAAGCTCTGGGGTCACCTTATTGCAACTATTCAATACTTGAAGGGGGCGTATAAAAAAGATGGAGAGCAACTTTTTGCTCATTCAGGTAACGACAGGACAAGGGGAGATGATTTTAAACTAAAGGAGGGGAGATTTAGATAAGAGGTTAGGAGGAAATTCTTCAGTCAGAGGGTGGTGAGGCACTGGCACAGGTTGCTCATAGAGCTTGTGGATGCCTCATCCCCAGAGATGTTCAAGACCAGGTTGGACGGGACCCTGGGTAACCTGATCTAGTGGGTGGCATCCTTGCCCATGGCAGGGGGGTTGGAACTGTGTGATCTTTAAGGTCCCTTCCAACCTGAGCCATTCTATGATTCTATGACTCAGGAGAAGCACAGAGTCAGTCTCTGTATAGGAGTATCCCCAAGAAGGAAACTCTAGGGTGGATGTACAATAGCTCGGTGCTTTGGTGCACCCCAAATGCTCAAGTGCCAGGCCTCAGCAGTCTCTTCTAGGCTTGGCTTTTACCACATAAATTTCCCCTCTCAGGATAATTATTATCTTGTGCATTTTTTCCCAGCTGCTTCTTTCTGGGAAGGATGGCAGCATAGATATTATTATGCCTGCTGGCCTGAATACCAATGCCCAGCAAGATCACAGCAGGCTAACAGGCACCTGAATCATCCTGAGCTGAACAAACCACTGGCTCTTGCAGTTTAAGAGCAGCTTCTTAGGGACAGTACATAGAGAGACTGTTTTAAGGGAGATACTGGCAACTGTATTTTGGTTTTTGCTTTTCCTCTTTACAGGTTTCTATGGGAGACCATGGTCTATGGAACAGAGGAGACTGCTCTTTCGATGGCAAGTACCCCAAATTTTGCTCTCTGGACGCACTGACACGTAACAGGTCGATGAGGTGGAACTCGGCAGTGCACGCCAGCCCCCCTCCCGTGCTGCTCCCAGGGCTGGGGAACGGGAAAAAGCCCCTGCCCTGCCCCGGCCTGAGAGCGGCGGGCTGCGCTGCCCTGTGCCCGGCAGGTGGTGCTGGGGCTCCGCAGCCCGCTGCAGCCGCAGGCGTCCCGCCGGGGGCTTGGGCCGGGCTGGGGAAGCGGCCGTGGGAGGGCTGGCGCTGGGGGTGCTGCGGGGAGGGTGCGAGCTCGGGGGGGGCGTTGCTGGGTCCCACTGCCCACGGTGTGGAAGGATGTGGGGAGGATCCGTCACCAGCTGGTGATGAGAATCACGGAGCTGATCCCTGCAGGAGAGAAAAAGCCCTCTCCGGGCACCTGCTCCGTGCGCCGGCCCTTGGCACAATGAGCTGCACCGACGGAGCTGTGCACCCGTGCTGCGATGGTCACAGCCCAGACAGCACGCCCGGCTCTGTGAGCAGTGCCCTAATGATGGCAGCACACGGGATGTTGTGGGCAGGGGGCCGGTGACAGTGTGGGCAGGATGCTGGTCACAGTGTGGGCAGGATGCTGGTCACAGGGTGCTAGAGACAATGTGGACAGCGTGTTCACGACAGTGTGGGCAGCATGCTGGTGACAGCATGAGCAGAGTGCTATTGATGGCTGGGCCAGTGAGCCAGGAGCAGCAGGGGCTGTGTGCTGGTTGCAGTGTGCTGGTGACAGCACCAGTGCTGTGCACAGCGTGGGAAGCATTCTGACAACAGTAAGAGAGTGCTGGTGGTGGTGTAAGCAGTCACAAGTGCAAAGACTATAGTAGGGGAACCAGAGATGCAGACACAGAAAAATGTTACTTAGAAAATCTGGGAAAATGTGCCACTGAGACAAAGGAAAACAAGGGATGTTGTTTTAAAATACGTTAAGAATGAGCAGATCTAATGATCTAGCAGATCTACCTAGTCTGGTAGCGGGTTGGAATGTCCGTGTGTTTGCACATGCGAGCAGTGTGTTTATCTGTGTTTTCCTTCTCTGGGAAGAAACAAGATGTAGCATTTGTGTCATGCAGTACATGACAGTCTGTTCATTATGGGAAAATGTAAAACGTCATCTACTAAGGAGGATAAACACAAATAAATGAATAAATCAGATGCCTTTCATACAGGAGTGCCAAAAGAGCTGTCTAAGGAAGTGTCTGCCCTATGGATTGCTGTGCAGATTCTGGAAAGAATTTGTGGTTTTGAGGCCAGAACGGGCCTTTTGATGGTGTAGTCTCATCTCCTGAAACAGCCAGGCCCTGTTTTTACTCAGACCTGTTTTCCTTCAGCTCCGCTTGCAGTGCAGCATCCGGAGAGCAGGGCATGGCACAGCCCTATGAAAGAGAGGGAGTTGTGAGCTGAGCAGCATTTGTCGTCATGGGCTGGCATGCCTGCCTGGATGCCTCTTTGCAAAGAGTCCTCCAGTCCGTCTGGAGCCTTAGGTGACCTCTTGTCCTTGCTGCACAGGCTGGAACGCCAGGAGCTGAACTGCTACATGTACGCACCCAAGGATGAGTTGAAGCACCGGCTGCTCTGGCGAGAGCCCTACACAGAGCATGAGGCAGGTAGCGGCTCTGCTGGGCCCCACCATGGGTGGGCTGTGGCATCCCAGTCCTCACAGGTGACGCATGGTCTGCATCTCAGCCAGGGGCAGGCTGGCTGCTACTGCTCCTCCTGCCAGAAGCCTGCCCCCAGACCCTGCCCATCACAAGGTGTCCCCTTGGACCCTACACTGCCCATGGAGCTCCCTGTGCAGGTCTTTGGCAATATGCTCCAGTGTGCCAGGGCCTGCAGACCCTTGTGGAGGGTCCTCTGTGTTCCAGCACTCTGGACACCATCTCCCCATGGCCCTTCTCTTCAGTGTTCTTTTCTGACTCCGGGTGTCCGTGGCTCTTTCCATTGGCAGCAGTCATTCCCCCTCCACCTGTACCTTGTCTCCCAGCGCTCACAGCCCTCCTCTGCTTTGTCCCCAGCCCGGATGCGGTCTCTCATAGAAGCTGCCCAAATGCATGGCGTGGAGTTCATCTTCGCCATTTCTGCTGGCCAGGACATGGTGTTTTCAAGTGCTGGGGATCGGCTCCTGCTGCAGCAAAAACTCAGGCAGGTACCGTGGGCCATTCCTTCATCCCATGGCTCCCAGGCAAGCTCCAGCAGGCAGTGCTGCAGGAGCTGCAGGAGAGGGACCAGCTGAGCCCGAGCCTGTGGGCAGCACCAGGGGGCTCCTGCAGGCTGTTGCTGAGGCCCCGCTGCCTGGGAAGGGTGAAGACCCCAGCACAGCCGCTGTGCTCTGCGGGGCGACCACTCCTCCCCGTGGCACGGCACAGCCACACCGCAGCTGCCCATCCAGCTCTCAGGCTGTCCCTGCAGCACCACGGTGTGAGAGGGGAATGGCCGGTGGTGTAGATGTGGCACAGGAGGGGGTCTGGGCCGCCACAACGCCTGCCCTGGTTTCAGAGGGCTCCTGGCCCACAACAAGCAGGGCTGTGCCAGGGTTTGGCGAGGAGGGCTATGGTGGAGGGGCAGCCTGCATGGCGTGGCTGTGTGTGGTGCGCTGCATCCGCTGGATGTGGCAGCGTGGGTGCAGGCATTGTTTGTCAGGCTGCTCCTGACTGCCGCTGTCCCTGCAAGGAGTGAGGGGCTCGACCAGGGCTCGCCGCATCCTCCTGCTGCTGCCCAGGCGTCCTAGCGCCCTTGCTGTGCCCACAGGTGGCTGCCATGGGGTGCCGTGCCTTCGCGCTGCTCTTTGATGACATCGACCCCTGCATGTGCCGAGCCGACAGAAATGTCTTCACCTCCCTGGCAGAGGCCCAAGCCTCTGTGGCCAACGAGGTATACCAGGAGCTGGGACAGCCCTCCATCTTCCTCTTCTGCCCCACAGGTACTGCCTGCAGCTGCACAGCCCCCAGCTGCCCCTCCCCAGGACCGGGTGCCTGGCAAGCCCTCATGCCCAGGCCATGCGGCTGCCCTGTGGCTGCAGCTACCAGACATGCACAGCATATCTGCCTCCTGCAAGCTGACTGCCCCGATGGCCTGTAGCCTCCACCATGCCTTGGGGCAGCCCTGGAAGCTTCAGGATAGGACAGGAACCGGCTGCAGAGGGGCCAATGCTGCTTTCCCTGCCCGGTGCCTCTCCCCTGCCCCTGCCCACTGCGCCTGGGCAGCCTCTCTGCCCCAGTCTCTTCCCTCAGGGGATGCTCTGCTCTCTGCCCAGAGTACTGCAGCTCACTCTGCTCTCCAAGCCCTGGCCAGTCCTGCTACCTGCTGACCCTTGGACGGGAGCTGCTCCCAGGGATTGGGGTCATCTGGACTGGTGAGCACCCTTCCCGGCTCTGTGGGTGTGCATGCGGCTTGTCCTCGGTCTGCACTCGGTGCCCAGGCGCATGCGCGCCCTGGATGTGCTGTGTGCGAGGGACCGTGCCACCCATGTGTCCCATCTGAGTCCGTGCCCTGATGCTCCAGGCCCAAAGGTGGTGTCACAGGAACTCTCAGCCATGCTGCTGGAGGAGGTGGAGGGCGTCCTGGGGCGCCGTCCCGTCATCTGGGACAATCTGTTCGCCAATGACTACGACTGCAGACGTGTCTTCTTGGGCCCCTACACGGGACGTGCCCCTGGCCTCATGCCTCGACTCTGTGGGCTGCTCCTTAACCCGAACTGTGAGCTCCAGGCCAATTTCATCCCCATCCACACGCTGGGCAGCTGGTTTCGGAGCGAGCTGGGGAGCTGTGCCTCCCCTGACCATGCAGGTACCAGGTCCCTGTGCCCCAGGCCACTCTGTATGTGGGGCCCCACATCTGTGACGAGGTTTCATGCCAGGGCAGCCCTGGCCTGGATGGGCCCTGCCCATCTCTGTTTGGCTTTGCCTTGGCCCCACAGGCTCCCCTGCTTGCCAGCCTGGCTCAGGTGGCACCCCCTGTCCTGGGCATGGGGTCCCTCCTGGGTGGTGGGCTGCCCTCCCTCACAGTCGCATGGGATAGCTTGGTAAAACAACGAGTGGGGCTATCCAGGCTGATGAGCTCCATTTCACTAGGGACGGAGACTGCAGCAGCCCTGGGGGACAGCCAGGGCCCATGGGAGGGGAGCTACAGCCCCCAAGAGGCCTTGGAGCTGGCACTGCTTGACTGGGTGGCTGAGATAAACCAGCAGGCCTTGGAGACAGGTAGGTGAAGAGCTGGCACCATGCAGCATCCCTCAGCCCTCAGACTCTGGACCAGCTCTGCTGGGAGCTCTGTGGGGTGGGAGAGCTGCCTCTTGGGATGGGATGCTGCAGTGGGGTCCCCTGTTGTCAGGCTCAGCTGGAGGAGCCTCTGCCTGAGCAGAGCTGGGAAAAGGAGGGGACTTAAGCCAAGCAGGTGGGGCAGAAGAGTTTGAAGCGTTGGCCTCACAGTTAGTTGGGCTTTGGGCTCATCCTGCAGCAGAAGTGAGTGAGCCCATGGGATGGCGGATTGGATGAGCCAAGAGAGTGTTACCAGCAGATGTGTGCTGCCTTACCAGCCTGCCTTCCCAAGAGAGCACTTTGGGAAAACAGACATTGACAAGTGATGCAGAGCCCACAGTCTGGGCAGCTCCTGGTCCCTGTCAGCCCAGAGCTGAGCTCCTGGTACAGCCGCCCCGGGGCTGTCCTGCATCTGGGCAGCCGTTCTGGTGTGGGTGCCAGAGGGGCTTTGCCTTTGCTCTGTCCCACCAGGAGGAAGAGCTCTATTACACCCCAGCGCTGGCTGTGAGGGAGGAGCAGGACTGCAGCCAGGCACAGCAGGATGGCAGGAGGCCACGCCTGGCCCCCAGACCCATGGCACTGCTCCTGGTGGGGCAGACCAGTGTGGCCCTGAGACCTACGGCGGGACACCAGGGGAGGGAAGGAGGAAGGTGACCTTGGTGCCTAAGAAGGACAGTGGGAGCAGGACCCCCACCCGCAGTCAGCAGAGCCCCCCAGGGGATGGGGACCAGCTCGCCTCAGGTAGCGGAGCAAGCTGCGAGCCCTCCTCTGCTCCACGCAGCACAGGGGGCAATGCCAAGCCTGCTGGAGCCCCTGGAAATGGTGAGACCTTCTGCAGCCTGGAGACCCCAACGTGCTGCAGCAGTGGGGCTGACAACAGCCAGAGCCTTCTCCTTGACACCAGCAATGCCAGGGGAGGGGATGGCAACCTCCCCCAGGCCCCTGGCAGTCCCCAGCCTGGGGCCAATGGGGCTGATGTGCCCCAGACACTCCCAGGGGCTGGGGCTGGTGCCAGCCCTGTATCCACAACACCACTCACCGATGGGGCTGGTGCCAGCCCTGTCCCCACAGCACCACTCACCGATGGGGCTGGTGCCAGCCCTGTCCCCACAGCACCACTCACCGATGGGGCTGGTGCCAGCCCTGTCCCCACGGCACCGCTCACTGATGGGGTTGATGCTAGCCCTGACCCCATGGCATTGCTCACTGATGGGACCAGTGCCAGCCCTGGCCCCACTGCACCACTGACCCCAGAGGAGGCCACGTCCATCCACATGGCACTGCTGGCCCCAGAGGAGGTCAGGTCTGGCTGCATGACACCCAGGTTTCTGGAGGAGGCTAGGTCCAACTCAAATGACCCACTGACCATGGAAGAGGTGCGAATGCTGGTGGAGCTCTTCTACTTGCCCTACCATCATGGGCCACAGGCACAGCATCTCCTGGAGCACCTTCAGTGGCTCCGGGCCAACAGTCCCAGCGTGGGGGTCCCGGCCACAGCACCCAATTCTTGTGAGGTAAGGCTAGCCTGGGCACTGCTGCAGGAGGGTGCCCATTGTGGCTGCTCTGACACCCGGTCTGTCTGCAGGGCACCCAGTGGCGTGGCCGAGCACAGTCCTTCCAGCTGCTCTGCGCCCAGACGTGCCGCCTGCACAGCCGCTTCGTCTGCAGCGCAGGGCAGGCGCTGCTCTATGACCTTCACCCCTACCTCTGGGACATCCGCAACATGCTGCTGGCTGCCAGTGCCTTCATCCTCTGGTTGGGTATGTGGATGAGGCCACCCTGAGAGCCAGGCTCTACCACTGTAGTCGTGTATCCACATCCTGGCCAAATCCAGCCCTGCTCCCTAAGGGACAATGGAGCACAGGGTCCCTGGGCACCATGGCACCTGAAACTTCCTCTGTCCTTTCCCCTAAAGAAGTGGAGGTGTCTGGGAACACTCCCAGCAGGCTGGGGTCCTGGAGTCTGGCCAGGCTGCCAGAATCTCTGCTGGGAACGCATCTCCCCTTGGTGCCATCCCCGTGCACTGCCTGTGCCTGCACTCACCACCACGTCTCCTTTGCAGACGGCCACCTGCTCTGTGACCCTGACCCCAAGGGCACCTGGAGAAGCTGCTTCGGCTGTAAGTATGGCACTGCTCTCGCCCACCCACGAAGGCTGATGCCCTCTGTAACCTCAGGCCCCACAGCTAGCACTTGCCATGGGGCTGTCCTTCTCCTACCAGTGGAGCTGGCATGGCTGCAGGAAGGCTGCACCCCTGCACTCCCTGGCATACCAAGGCAGGATGGGGACGGCTGCTGGGAAAGGACAGCAGGGCTGAGGGTTCCACTTGTGTGGGGTCTTGCTGGGCTCTGCTCCTCCAGCTAGCTGGGGGCTAAGGCTCTGCTCTAGGACCCAAGCAGGGACTGAAAGAACCTCTACAAGGCAGTGAGGGCATTGCCCCACAACATCCAGGCCCTCCAGCTCTGCCCCCAGGCACCCAGCAGTGTCCCAGAGCTGCACAGCTGCCCCACCAGCACAGGTGGCTGAGCTCCGGCTCTCTGGCTGTGTTGGGAACACCCACACCAGTCAGCATGGATCACTGGGCTCACGGAGCTCATCCAAGTTCCCGTGCTTCTGAGAAGTGTGTCACAGCAAGACACCTCGCTTAGTGTTCTGCAAGGAGCTGTCACCTCAGGAGCATCCTCCCTGCAAATGACTCCTAACCTGGCCGGGAGGGGCCAGGGGGCTGGATAGCGGAGTGGGAACTGAAGTGAAGCAGCCTGGAAGGGGGGCAGTGTCACACGTCAGGGAAGTGGCACTCATCAGAGCAGCACTTCACTGTCTTGTGGTTTAAATGGAATGCCTGTTTCTGGGGCATGGCTTCTTGGCCTTTTTAATCCCAGGACCTTTCTGGTAAAAGGGGTACATGGAAGAAATTCTTTACTATGAGTGTGGTGAGGCAGTGGAGCAGGTTGCCCAGAGAAACTGTGGATGCCCCATCCCTGCAAGTGTTCAAGGCCAGGCTGGATGGGACTCTGAGCAACCTGGTCTGGTGGGACGTGTCCCTGCCCATGGCAGGGGGATCGGAACTAAATGATCTCTAAATCCCTTCCAACCCAAACAATTCTGTGATTCAGTCTATGATTCTCTGGGCTACTGGGAGCAGCAGTGTCCTGGGCGACAGAAGTGAGGCTGGATTTTGAATGCCTGTGCACCACTTTGCGAGCCCCCTTTCCTCTGGTTTAGATTTCCATGACCTTGTGAGTTTTTATAAACCAGGAGCTGTTACCAGATGACAGCCTGAAAGGGGCTCCGAGTTTGGTGTGGAATGTGGTCATGTACCTTGAGCCACTCCTGTGGAGAAGCAGCTGCGCATGGTGCGAGGGTGCCCGTGCCCAGCTGCCCTGCAAGCTCCCGCTGGCACTGCTGGCTGAGCAGCAAAGCAGCACACTGGGCTCTGTTCCAGGCTGCAGCTTCTCAGTCATGCCAGGAGCTGTGGTTTTTCCTTACACCTTTCATGGAGGCCAGATCAGTCATCTTCCCATTCCCCCACTTCAAGCCGTGTTGCAGGGGGCTTGCTGCCACCAGTGTTGGGCTGCACAAGTCCAGGGAGAGCTCCAGTACCTGGGCTGCATGCATGTGGGGCAGATCCTGAGCTGTGACAAGCACGGATCATGATGCTGCTGCGCAGGGGAGGCTGGTGTCCCCCTGTCCCAGCTGCTTATTTTTCACCTCGTGTGTGTCTGTCTCCTGTTGCCTCCAGGGTGCCAGAGCATCACTGCCCCACTCTTCCCCAGGGAAGATGCTGAGCCCTGGGCACGCCGCGGGGGCCTCTTTGGAGAGCTGCAGGTGAGATCGCACCCCTGGCTGCTGGGGACTGGAGGAACCCTTGGGAAGCCAGGATTCCAAGTGCTGCTCCTGCCATGCTGTTGGGTGGCTGCAGGCTCAGGGAAATGATGCTGCTCAGGCCTCTGCACCATGGCTGCTGCTCCTAGGCTTGGGGGGTCACAGAAGAACCCTCGTCCTGCCACCCCAAGGCAGGTTTGGAGCCAGGACAAGCTGCTCCATGATGGACTGTACCTCCTCCAGGCCCTGCTTCCCGTGGGGAACAGCTGTGACCTCTTTTATCACCCACCTCCGCTCTTTCCATCTCGCCAGCTGTATCTCCTGCGCCCGCTGCTGCCTCAGGACAAGGTGAGACTCATGGCCTGAACACACCACCTGTGCTGCTCACCCTGTAGCTCACCCTGCATGGCCTTTGCCAAAAAAGTGCTGACAAGAAACATGCATGTTGGCTGCTGCCCCCAGGGCTGAGCTTACAGCACAGGATGATGGCAGTGGGAAGGGACCCCAAGGGTCAGGCAAGCCTGGGGCAGGTCGCTCCATGCTGCGTCTAGCAGTGGTGGCAGTCCCCGTGGTGGAGCCCCCTTCATCAAATGCCACGCAGCCTGCAGCAACCACCCTGCTCTGTCTGCTCTGCTGCCCCTCCTGGCTAAAGGAAATGCTGGCACTGCAGATCCACCACCATGGACACATGTGCATCCCTGCTAAACACAGACCCTGCAATGCACACCTGCATGGCTAACAGAGGTGGAGTTGCAAGAATGTGAGAGCAGATTATAATACCAGACTATGGCCACCAGCAATTCCCATTGCAAGAGTTTGTTTTCAGTTGCCTGTTGTCAGATTACATTTGAACGTCTGTTTCCAGTGAAACTGTGAGAAAAACTCTTCTGAGCGCTTAAGCCAGTTCTGGGAAGGCAGCTCAGAAGTGCCTTGCTTTGACCTTGTTCAGTGATCAGGCAGCCTTCCCTTTGAGAAGCAGTATTTTTACCAGGATGTTCTTTTTGCTGATCCTGTGAACAGCAGAAAGCTCAAATTTGACCAAGACGGGATTTTTTTGGGAGGTCCCACTTTGCACGTGCTCGATAGAGACTTGAATTTCGGTATTAATTTTGCTACTGTTCTGGCTGCTTTGAGCATGCTCTGGACTGGGGCTGATCAGCATTTTCTCAGCAGCTGCTGCTCTGGGGTGCCTGACTGGAATGCCAATGGCTCATTTTAAAGCATGCTGTGCTGTGGCAGCAAGCCTCAGAGGCTAGCAGGACATGCTACACAACGGCTGTGCGCATTGCTCTGCACTAGCACCCTGGGCAGGCTGCAGTACCCGCCTTCCCCTGGCCAGCAGCACTGGAGGCTATGGCTCTGGTTGTGGTCCTTCTCTGGGGACAACGTGGGCACCTGTGGGTGCATCATGCTCTGGTGGAGTGGCAGGAGCCGAGGGGCAGCAGTGGGGCAGGGCCAAGGCTGAGGTGGTTTGGGCTCTTCCAGGGAGAGCTTTACCGAATGTGCCGGGAGGGTCTGGACTGTGACCCCAGCGTTGCAGAGGTCCTCGTGGCCCACCCTGACCTTCTGGGTGACAGGTGAGACCTGGTCCCTCTGGGGCTCCCTCTGGGTACGTGCCAAGCCTGGGCGATGTGGCCTTGGCCAGCCAGGGCCCTCTCCTCCCACCCCTGCAGGGAGCAGCTCCACACCGTGGCTGTGGTGGCCTCGCAGTATGGGATGGGGCAAGGGAGGGGACATCCAGGTGGGTCATGGAAGCTGCCGTGGGGACAGACCTGTTGCCCAGCTGGTCCCTAAGGGGGCTGCAGTGGCTCCCCCAGCTGAAGTCATCTGTGGGGGTCTCAACAGCACAGGGTGGGGGCGCTGGGTGCTGCAGGGGCAGAGGGTGGACGGCTGCTCCAAGCTCTCCTTGAGCTGGGCTCGGCCTCGGCTCAGCAGTGCCTCTGGCTGGCAGGCTGCTGGGCAGCTTCCTGCACCTGAGCCCTGAGTACACGTTCGTGCTGGAGGACGAGGGCGGCCCGTGTGGCTACGCAGCCGGAGCGCTCTGTGCTGAAGGCTTCCTGCGAGAGCGAGCCAGCAGCTGGCTGCCGGCCATGCGGCACAAGTACCCCCGGGAGCTGCGTGCGGGCGGCCCAGCCCTGGGACAGGTGAGGGGAGCGTCCGCAGTGGTGGGAAGTGGGGGGGGAGGAGGGAGGGCTCCTTCACCTGTGCTTGTCACCTGCAGGATGCCCTGGAGGAAGCACTGCTCTTCTTCCACGCAGAGCCACCGGCCGTGCCCCTGCCCGTGCTGCGGCGCTTCCCCTCCCTGGTGCAGCTGGGCACGGCCCCTCGGGTGCTGGACGTGGGGGCCAGCCGCAGCCTGGCTGTCTGCCTGCTGAGTGCGCTCAGAGCCAATGGTGAGCTCCATGTTGGTGGGTCTGGGACTACTCCATCAACACAGCGCAACCCCATCACGACCCCCTGCCCACCCCGGAGCTGGGGGCAGCCATCTCTGGGGCTCCCGTTCCTGCAGTCTGACCCCAGCTCCCTGGCACCATGACCTCCCTTTGTGCCAGGGACATGTGGACATGTGTCACAGGGCCTTGCATGGTCACCCGCTGCCACGGGCAGCACTGGAGGGGGCTCAGCTGCTGCCCTTAGCCCTGGGCTGAGGCTCCCAGAGACGGGCGCCTGAGCTCTTCTCTCCCTCACAGGCTCACGGGGAGTGTTTTGCCAGGTCAGTGCCGCTGACCAGCAGCAGCTGAGCTTCTACAGCAAGCTGGGTTTCGTCGCCCTGCCTGTGCCCTGGCCCAGCTCCCCTGATGCTCGGCTCCTGGGACGCCTCCTCTGAGTGAGCATTGGGCATGGGCACAGGGAGACAGCACCACAGGATGGGAACTGGCAGCGTGTCTCAAGGGAGCAGAAGCAGAGGGGCACCTTGGGCAGGGCAGGTACATGGGGGATGTGGCCTGGGGGTAAGCAGGGTGCCACTGGGATGTGCACAGGGCACCAGGCTGTGGGAGTACTTGGCAAGAGAGGGGCATCTCTGCTGCTTCAGGAGATTTGGCCATCCAGGCCCTTCACTCCTGCTTGCTGAGCACCCTCCACCTGTGCCAGGGAATCAAAGCACCCGGCCTGGCAGGTTGTGCACGGGCAGTGTTTGGGGTAGTGGTCTTGGGGCATGGCGTGTTGGCACTGGGACAGTGTCCCTGTCCCACCGATGGAGCTGCCCAGCTCTCTCCATCCCCATTGTGGCCTCAGTTTGGACAGTTGGTGCCAGGGCTGGCTCTTGGCACCCAGGAGCTGCTTGTTGTATTGAGCTGGCATGGGGCACAGTGAGGCAGCCCTAATCTCTGCTGCCCAGGGGCTGAGGGAAGTGCTGTCCTCAGTAATAAAGCATTTGCTGGTCTCTCACCATGGTTTGTCTCCTGGGGATGTTATTGGGATACCGGCATTTCCCTCCAACACCCCTGTGCCCGCCTTGCACAGACTGTGCTTACAGACAGTGCAGTAGAACCCAGGCAAAGCAGCGACTTCGTGGCTGCCTCTCCAACTGCTCACCAACCCCTGGCCTCCCCCGCACCACACTACGGGAATGAGCTCAGCCAGGCTCCCTGCAGCTCCGGGGCTCCCCTGTGGCGATGGCTCCCTGGCGTGCCTGGGGGTCCCTTCCAGGACACGCAGGAGTGCCAAAGGGGGACGTCTGGCTGGCTGGCTTGCCTGGAAAGAGCTGGGAGGGAGGCATGAAGGGAGCAAACGGGTCACTGAGGGCTTTTCCTCCGTGCTCGCCAAAGCTGGCTGCCCCTTGGTCATGGGGCGAGGAGGAGGCTGGGTGGCAGAGGGACCCGGAGCAGAGGGGGCTCGGGCCCCGTGCCTCACCGGGTTGCGCTGCTCCATGCCCGGGAGCTGCTCTGCGGGGGTCTGCAGCCCGGTCCCCGTTCCCGGGTTCGCCGGGGGCTGTGCCGGGAGCGCGGTGCTCGCGGGGCGGGGGCGCAATGCCGGGGACCCTGCAGGGAGAAGGCCGAGCTGGAGGCCCCGTGCCGGGGTCCGGTGCGGAGCCCCCCGGGGCAGCGGGGCCCCGCCGCGGCCGGATCCGTGCGGGCCGGGGCGGCACGGGCCGGCCCCGGACACTGGGGCGCTGCGCGGGGCGGGCCGGGGCGGAGAGGGGCGGCTCGGCTCGGCTCGGCTCGGCACGGCCCCGCCGGCACTCGGCTGGACGCTCTCGCCCGGCGCCGCCGCAGCCGCGCAGCCCGTGGGGACGCGAGGTACGGCCGGGGCCCGGGGCGGGCAGCGCGGCTCGGGACCGGCCCGGAGCGGCGGGGCTGGGGGCGCGGGGGGCGGCGGGCGCGGCGCCGGGCGCGGGTGCCTGGGGAGCCCCGCGTGGCCCCGGGGCTCGCGGCGAGGGGCCGCGCGTGGGAGGCTTCGCGGCTCGCGCGGGGCTCCCGGCGCGGGGCGGGCGCCGGGCCGGGGGTCGCGAGGCGCTGCAGAGCCGGGCGGGGGGCGGCGCGGGGGATGAATGGGGGCTGCGTGGGGCCGTCCCGCGGGAGGGCTCCGTGACCGCGCGGGACGCTCCGGCTCCGTCCCCGACCCCCGGTTCCCCGGCGCGGCTGCGCGGTGCCGGCGGGACGGGCTGCCCCTGCCGGCGGCCGCACGGGGGGTGCCCCGCGCCCGGTACAGAAAGGCTGCTTTGTGCGCCGTGCCGGCGGCGCCGTGGCCGGGGGAGCTGGGCCATGGTCGCCGTGCTGCGCGGCGGCGTTTGGCGGGGTGCAAAGGTTTGTGTCCGGCTGCGGCGTGCGTTCCCCACGCGCTTGCTGGGAAGGAGAAGGAGAAGGGGAAGGGGAAGAGGAAGGGGAAGGGGAAGGGGAAGGGGAAGGGGAAGGGGAAGGGGAAGGGGAAGGGGTGCCCGTCAGCCCCGGCAGGTTAGCGGGGTGCTGCCTCGGGGCTGCGCAGCCACGCGTAGCCCTGAACGTGCTGAGCAGCGCCTGCCTTCAGGAGGCTCGTTTGCTGAGCTGTGGTTTACAGAGGGCGGTGGAAACTCAGGATTTCCATGAAGATGGAATTTGCTTCTTCGCTGGAAGAGAGGAAGGATGAAGGGACGCGAGGCGTGAAGGCTGGAGGGCTTGGGCACGTCCTGCATCCTCCCAGCTGCTCTCCAGAGGAGTTGGCAGGCAGCGGAGCAGGTCTCCTTGCTCTCAGTAGCTCTGAGATTGCTGGTTCCCTGCCCTGCGGTGCCTGCCCCCCCCCCCGGACCCGTGGTTTGCCTCCTAGCATGGCTGGGCTGTTGAGGCTGTGGCCAATGGCTACAGCATCTGCACATTCCTTCGGGGTCTTCCCCTCCTGCCTGCCCCTCCAGAGCCCAGAGGAGCCCAGAGCAGAGTTGGCAGCCATCTCCCTGCTGTGTCTCGGGGAAACCCAGTGAAGTTAGGAACTGCAAAGAGCTGCACTGTGTGCTGCCCTGGCTTAAAGGCTGACAGCAGAGCAGGGGACATCAGACAGTCCAAAGGGCTCAGGACTGCTTGAGTCTGGTAAGTGCACTCAGGTGCTCTGTCCCCCGCTGGCACTCAGGACAAACCCAGTGCCGGGGCGTCTACAGCAGTGTCCCCATCACTGCCTGGGACAGGGACACGCAGTGGGATGGCAGGGACAGGCACGCAGCCTTCTTTCTGGTCAGCCAGGGACAGCGAGCCCCCAGCCAGCCCCACCAGGAGGTGGTGGTGTGGGGAGGTGTCACTGAGCCTGCCAGTGTGGTGGGGCTGCCGGGGTGACCCTGGGGTGTTCCTCAGTGCCACTGGGAGCAGCTCAGCTGGGAGCCCTGCAGCCCCTGGACTTGGCTGTGCTTCTCCTGTGCCTCCTATCCTGCGGGGTCCCTGCTGGCGGGTCCAGCCGGTCCTGCCCCAGTGAGGTGGGGCTGTCACAACCCTCGGCTCCAGCACCCCTGGGCTGCTGGGAAGCAGGAGGACGAAGGAGGCCAGTCCAGGCAGCCAGGATTGCGAAAGGGCCGGTGCGGGAAGCCAGGCTCTGGCCTGTGTGTGCTGGGGCCCCAGGGAGAAGGGGAAGGAACAGAGCCCAGTGCCTGAAACCATGGGACCCAACAGACCTTCTCCTGCCCCTGTGCTGGGGACATGACCCTTTGCTCTCAGGGATGTCCCGGCATGGGCCTTGGCAGAGTGTGATCCCATCACCTCTTGACCTTCCCAGTGATGGATAAACAGAGGGAGCTGCTTCCTCCTTCTGCTGGCAGGCTTCCCAGGTCATCGGTCATTTGCTCTGCTCTTCTCTGAGTCCTTCCAGTCTGTCAGTGCCTGCTTTGCTGCATCTCCCTGTGCGTGCCTTAGGCCTCCTGTGCAGCACTGCTGAGAGAGACCACTCCTGTGGTGCCACCCCAGCCTGGCCCTTCCCTGCTGCTGCTGCCTGGGACCTTGTCCCCATGCCATGGAGGTGACCTGCGCTTGGCTGGTGGCATGCATGAGGACCCAACACACCGACCTGCTCTATATCTGCTTCATCTGCTCCTTCCCAAGCCTGTCTACTATTCACTGAGGTTTTGCTGGGGCAGACCAAGGCCAGTCCCAGTGCCTGGTGGGTTCTGAATAGCACAGCCTCGGAGCCAACATCCCCGTACTTGGGGTTCCCCCGCTGCCACTGCTTGCTTCTGCTGGTACAGCTGAGCCCCTGGAAGGCACAGCCCCCATGCTAGGGGAGCAAAGCCATGCTGAGGGCACTGGGGCTAGGGAGTGCAGCTCCTGTGGGGCACTGGAGCCCTTGTTTGCTGGGAAGGGCAGGGTGATGGGGCTGGTTTGGAAGCAGGTCAAGCAGTGCCACAGTTCCTGCTGCCACATGGAGCTGCCCTCAGCACAGAGGGGACGCTGCAGCCGGGCTGGGGGTGTGGATCCTGTGGTCTCGGCTCTGTGGTGCACTCAGGTACCCACAACCAGCTCCATCCCTACTGTTTGCCAGGAAGGGGCTGGGGCCTCGCACATGCCTGGCTGGGACATTCCATGAGACAGCAATGCACCCTTGTGGCCAAGAAGGCCGATGTTATCCTGGGGTGCATTACCACGAGTGTTGCCAGCAGGTCAAGGGAGGAGATCCTGCCCCTCTACTCAGCCCTGGTGAGGCCACACCTGGAGGACAGTGTCCAGTTCTGGGCTCCCCAGTACAAGAGGGAGATGGAGCTACTGGAGCGAGTCCAGTGGAGGGCTACAAAGGTGATGAGGGGACTGGAGCATCTCTCATATGAAAAGAGATTGAGAGAGCTGGGCCTGTTTAGCTTGGGGAAGAGGAGACCAAGAGAAGACCTTATCCATGTGTATAAATATCTTGTGGGAGGACAGGGCCAGTCAAGAGGCAAGGGCACAAACTGAAACATGGGAAGTTCCAGCTTAATATGAGAAAACATTTCTTTATTGGGAGGGTGAAAGAGCACTGGCACAGGTTGCCCAGAGAGGCTGTGGAGTCTCCTTCTCTGGAGACATTCAAAACCCACCTGGATGTGATGCTGCACAACGTGCTCTGAGTGATCCTGCTTGGCCGGGGGGTTGGACCAGGTGATCTCCAGAGGTCCCTTCCAACCTCAGCCATTCTGTTATTCTGCGTTTCCTGAGGTTTCCTGGGCAGTCACAAGGACCTAGGCTGCTCTCCAGCATCTATGGCTGGTGCTTGCTGGGGGCCAGCCCATCCCCCCAGCTGGGTGCGCGTCCGAGCCCCATTCACCTGCCAGGGGAATGCAGGAACGCCATGCACAAAACCCCTGTCAGAGAGGGGACTTTGTGGCTGCAGACAGAAGCCAGCAGTGGGGTGCCTGAGGCCCTGGGGCAGGCGAGTCTGGGCAGGATTGTGCCCAGCTTCTGGGTAACAGCGGCAGCCAGGGCATCCATCCCTGTCCCAGGCAATTCTTGGCCCCCGACCCTCTCCACAGGTGTTGCCTGTCCATGCCCCCAGCTGCCTGCACATCTGTTCTCCAGTGGATGTGTGAGGTTCATGCTAATCTCTGGTCCTTAGGAGCAGAGCTAGCGTCCTCCCTGACACGCCTTGTACTGCTGCTCGCATCAGGCATCCCCTGTGCCGGAGAGGTGGCAGCCCCCCCTTGCTCCCAGCAGGACCAAACAGCCTGTCCCCAGGACAAAGGGGTGCCCCTGCCTCTGGCCAGAGGGAGAAGTGAGGGCGATGCCCCCTCAGGACTCTCACTCAGGTAGATCAGCCCTTCCACAGTGCAGGCAACCCCCAGCTTGTCTGTGCCTGCCAAAGAGCCCCTAGCCCTGGCACAGACCTCATGCCCGCAGCAGATCCAGCTGGCAGGACTGTGGTCCCGCTGGACTGAGTCAGCGGCTGGCTCTGGTTGCAGTGATCCAGAGACAGGAGCTGCAGGGAGGGGCCCAGGCTTGAAATCAAGAGATGCTGAGTGCAGATCTGCCCCGCTGGAAGCCTGTGGGACTGTGCCGCAGCTGCCTGGGGCAGGGCGGGCAGGGGGCTCCCTGTTTCCACAGCAGCACTTGGGTCCGGGAGCAAAGCTTCCAGCGAGCAAGGAAATGGGGCAGTGTCACCATGCTGGAGGAGCAAATGCACTGCTGGCATTTAAGAAAGTGGAAAAAGTGATCTGGACAACGCCAGCCCTGTTAGCCCAAGGTCTGTGACACCAAGCCTCAGAGTGCATTGCGAGAGGGAGATGTTACAGAAATGGGAAAATGGCTCGTTTTTCCCCCAGGGAGTCCACGCTGCCAACCTAACCATGCTCCTGGATGCACGTGGGAAGTGCTGAAGGCCTGTGCCGACCTCACCAAGGGCAGGGGGCAGGCAGCAGGGGCTGAGGACAGGCTGAGCTGAGACGGGGGAGCGAGTAGGGAGCGGGACGCTGGAGCCTCTAGAGAGGACAGCGGTGACCCAGGAGCACTGCAGGTGGTGACAGCGGGACCCCTTCAGCGAGCTGCGGTTAATACCGCAGGGGTGGTAGGATTTAAGCAGGTTCAGAAGCAACTGAAGGACTGTGAGGAAGACGAATCCACGGAGAGCTTTTGAATGCAAAGACAGGGGTGGCTGAGCTGTGGGCACCACAACAGGGAAGCAGCAGAGCATCCCCACCCTGTCCCAAGGCACTCCTGCTGCTTCTGTGGGCATCAGGGTCTGGGCTGAGGGACATTTGCCGTGGCCTGGCACCGCTGCATGGCTCTGGCCCTGACTGATGGCATCAGGATGTGGAGGATCTGCCAGTGCTGGCCCCATTGGCAGTGCACCGTGCCCAGACAGCCTTGTGTGGGGCTTCCCCACATCCACAAACACAGGGCTGGGGCTGAGACCTCGCATCCAGCCAAGCTGGAGGCCGGTGGCTTCAGCAATCCTGTCAATAGCAAGTGCATCAGGTCCTGCGGTAGCACTGCAGAGACTCGGTGGCACTGTGTGCCTTCCATGGCTACAGACAGACTGAGCACTTTCCTGGGTGCTGTGTTCTGGTTTCTGATCCTGCATGCTTTGTTCTTGGCCTTACATTTCCTTCAAGACAAGGGTATGGTCTATGTGATGCTGTTTTGCCAGGCCGCCCAGGTCTGTCCCCATCTACACACTCTGCCCATTTCAGTCTTTGCAGACTGTACCAGGAGAGGACTTTTTTTCTCCTTCAGACATGGTTTTGCTTTTGAAAAGCATGTGATCTTCACCAGAGAGCCCACTGAATGGTGGCTTTCCAGTTGTAACCACATTTTAGTTACAGCAGGTGTCCAGTTTTAATCCACTTAGCAGAAGGTGCACTGATTTTGTTGAGTGCTAATCATTCATTAAAAGGTCATGCAAGATGAATTGAATGCCTTCCAGTCTCAGCCTGTTGTATCAACACAGTTACTTCAATTAACCAAACTTGTGATCTCATAAAAGGTCACACCAGCTTTGTGACATGGACTATTTCTGCAGAACTGTGGAGACTGGCATTAATTGTGCTGCTGCCCTTTAGCGTTGTATTGGCCCCATCGCAAAGCAGCCTGGAGCTTGCCTGCAGTCAACACCAGCAGAGATTGCCTGCCTCGTTCAGTGCAAGTGCGGGGGAAGCTTTAGCTCCACGTGTGCTTGCAGATTCCAGTCTCCCCAGGTGAGTTAAAATTAGCACTGAGAGGGCCCAGACTTGCTGGCAAGCACTTGTGTGTGATGTGTGGCGCGGCGTGGCCCTGCGGATTTACATTGCTTCACTTGGGAAGGACAGGACGTCCCCTCTGACTGATGCACAGAATAAGAAGCGTTTTATTACTGCTGTGAGATGTTAAACTGATCCCCTCGCTGCTTTCCAGGCAGAGCAGAAACACGACTGGAGCACTCCTGCCCTGCCTGCCCCCGCTGGCAGAGCTGGGATGGCCCTTTATGCCTGCCCTCCCCTTTCTCCTGCCTAACAGGCTGATTAAAAGGTTCAGCAAAGCATTTTCCTGCTGCCTGCCCACAAATATGCTTCCTGCTGGGCTTCACTTTGTTCTTGCAATGCCAAAGCAGGCAGCTGAGGCATGGGTAGCCCAGAGCCAGCCACTGCAAACTCGAGGGCTCATGGGGCGCATTCCTGACCCCCAGTGCCTGGTGCTGTCCCCATCAGTGCTGCTGTGTCCCCCATACCCCAAGATGTGACAGAGGAAAGAGCAGGGCCAGAGTTGATGCGATTGCCCCACAGGGGTCGGCGTCTTCCTGCTGCAACGTCTGCGCTGGCCGTGGAGCAGTGCTGTTGGTCCCCTTGCCATCGCCCTCCCTCCTCGCACGTCCCTGCAGGCACTGGGACTCGCTGGCACCGTGCTGGTGTCCCAGCCCGAAGGGGCAGGAGGCAGCAGGGGTCCAGGGCAATGGGCACAGGGAAGGGTTTGTCTGCCTGTCCCTGCTTCGTGTTCAGGAGTCACTGGAGGCTGGAGTGGTGACCTGGAAGAGAGAGGCATGACAGAGCAGGAGCAGGGCCGATTCCCATAGAAAACCTATCCCATGGGTGGACACGGGGCTGTGGGTCCGTCCCTGAGCCTAGGCTCCGTGCTGGTGGCAAGGCGCAGGGCGATCGTCCCAGTGCAGCACAGGGATGTATCTCGCCCCAAGAAAGGGGCTCTGGCAGCTCTGTGGCCCCATCAAACCAGCACGCTGGAGCTGCGAGGGAGCAGGGGATGGGGCGCACAGGGCGGGGGCTGGCAGAGGAAGTGTGCCGGCACCGTGGGGCTTGGCTGTGAGAGCAGGAGCATGTGCAGGGCTTGCATTTGCTTTCCCTTCTGCATAGCCCTGTAGCTCGCCATCAGCCTGAAATCACCCCAGCCTTGAGGTGACTGTGCTCAACCTTATTCTTTTAATGTTGTCTAATGACAACCTGTGTGAGTGAGGCATGTGGGATGTGCTCCTGGTGGCTTTGGGTGCTGGGTCTGTCCCAGGAGGGGCTCCCAGGTGGAGGGGGCACTGTGCCACGGGCCGGCTGGGGGCAAGGTGTGGGGCTGCAGCCCTGTGGCAGGAGGCTCGCCGTGCCTTGGTGCTGTGCAGCTTGCTGTGCCTTGGTGCTGTGCCACCAAACACGCTGCCAGCCCAACCTGGAGCAGTGCTGGTGCTGCCTGCACAGGTTATGCTGCTCCCAGGCGGTGCGGCACTGAGGGGGTTAAGGTGGTCCCTGGCGGCAGATTTGGGAATAGGGTGAAGGAGGTTTACAGAGAAACGTTTTCACCATTGTTTGTCAACGAGGCTGGTGCAGGAATACCGCATCTCCCACAGGTATTCTCAGGGAGCCACAAATGTTACTGAAGGGCTGGAGAAAATGCCTCACAGGGAGAGATGTAAACGGCTCTGGTTGCGTCGCTCCTGACAGTGGGCAGGAGCATGGCTTGGCAGCCCCGTGGTCAGCAGCTCCGGCCCCGGCTGCTGTGCGGCCGGTGGTGCACCGAGGTCCACAGCCAGCCCAGCCAGGCCCCCCCCCATTCCCTGGCCCTGTCCCAGCACCTCTGCTCCAGCAGCCTGGTGCCCCTCCTTTCTGGAGGTGATGCCCGTCTGCTGGGCACATCTGCTGTTGTTCTCGGCACGGGAAATGTGAGCCAGCAGCACAGCGGGGCGAGGGGCTGGGGATGGCGGGCAGCGGGGCTGGGGGGCAGCGGGGCTGGGGGGGCAGGCGGGTGGTGGCCAGGGGCTGTTCCTGGCTGGGGATGGGACACACGGGCGTGCTGGCACCCAGAAGAACTGTGCAGGAGTGGGGGGGCTTCACCTCACAGCACCGGGCCGAGCTGGCATTGCGGCACGATGCAGTTCTCCCGCTTGCCCTGACACTGTGTCCCCACACAGGGCCACGCCGCCATGGGACACCACAGCACGTGGACGTGGCAGGAGCTGCTGGTGCTGCTGGGGGGGCTGTGGCTGTGGGGGGGCAGTGCCCAGCCCACCCCTCCGGGCCCCACGCGCAGCCCCGCGCCCCAGCTGAAGTTTCGGCTGGCTGGCTACCCACGCAAGCACAACGAGGGCCGCATCGAGGTCTTCTACAACGATGAATGGGGCACCATCTGTGATGACGACTTCACGCTGGCCAACGCACATGTGCTGTGCCGGCACCTCGGCTTCGTGGCTGCCACCGGCTGGGCCCACAGCGCCAAGTACGGCAAAGGCGTTGGTAAGAGGCGCAGCCGTGTGCTGCACGAGGCTGGTGTGGGGGCCAGCAGGGCCCCATGTCTGCAGAGTGCCTGGCAGCGTGAATATGCGTGTGTGTGCGCCTGCGTGTGCGTGCATGTGCAAAGCAGACTTGCAAACTCCACGTGTGTGTGTGTGTGTGTGTGTGTGTGTGTGTCCCCAGCACTTAGGGAGGATGCACGCACTACGACAGTGGGCTGTGCATGCCCTGGGTGGTGCAGGTGGCTGCAGCGCTGTGCTGCTGAGGACACATGCAGAGGGGCAGCAGGCTGCGTGCAGGCGAGATGCCATACAGGCCCCAGGTGCTGTGGAGACTCCCTACCAGCTGCTCCCACACTCAGGCTTTCCCTCGTTGCATGTCTGGCCCCAGCTTTGTGCCAAGGGAGGGCTGCCCCAGCCTCATCTCCACGTGCCTGCTACATGTCTGCGTGGCCTTGGCACCTTCCCTGCTCCTGGGGGCTGCTGCGTGGGCTTGGTTCCCTCTCACCTCTGGCCCTGGCATGTGGCAGGGCGGATCTGGCTGGATAACGTGAATTGTGCGGGAAGTGAGAAGAGCATTGGGGACTGCAAACACCGTGGCTGGGGGAACAGTGACTGCAGCCACGAGGAAGATGCAGGTGTCATCTGCAAGGACGAGCGCATCCCAGGCTTCAAGGACTCCAACGTCATTGAGGTGAGGGTGCTGTGTCTGGGGTGGCCCTGCCTGGCTTTTGACCCCCCTGCCTGGCTGGGGGCAGCTTTCTCACTGCAGCCCGGCAGGCACCTGTGTGCAGGATCCGCGGTGCCCTCCATCTGTGCCTGCCAGTGGGGAGGAGAGGCTGCGATGTGCAGCCCTGCAGCAGGCAAATCCTGCCCCACATGGAGTGCAGTACTGCCACGGCATCCCCTGGGCATCCCCTGGGCATCCTGAGCTGCTCCTTCCCTCGTGGCTGTCCTGTGCCCCTGCAGACTGTATTCCCCTGTCTGCCAGGGGCCCTGGTCCCAGACCTGCTCCTGCACGCTGCACTCTGCTGGCATGTGTGGCCGCTCCCCTCTATCTCTCTTCCAGGCTGTTTCTCAGACCACACCTGGGGTGTGGGGACATGGCGCAGCTCTGGGCATGCGCTAGCTGGGGTCCCACCAAGAGAGGGGTGCTGGAGCCATGTCCTGCAGGCTGTGCCCAGCATCCAGTGCCCTTTGCTGCCATCCTGCCCTGGGAGGGTGCCTGGGCTGGGGTCTGGATACAAGGTTCTGAGGTGAAGGGATGGCAGCACTGGCTCTCCTGGCTGCAGTCCTGGAAATAGACCTGAGGGACCAGGGACGGGGATAGGTACTTGGCTACCCTGGGCCATTGGAGATGGGACCATCCTGTCCCTGTTCCCCGCATGGGTCTGGGGACCCCCCCCCTCCTGCAGGGCATCCTTGGGCTGGCAGGGAGCGGGGTGCCAAGCAAGCCTGGGGTGACCCCTGCCCTGCAGACAGAGCAGAGCCACGTGGAGGAGGTTCGCCTGCGGCCGGTGGTGTCAGGGGCCCGGCGGCGGCTGCCAGTGACAGAGGGTGTCGTGGAGGTGCGCTACAAGGATGGCTGGGCACAGATCTGCGACGAGGGCTGGGACACCAAGAACAGCCGTGTCATCTGTGGCATGATGGGCTTCCCTGCAGAGAAGAAGGTGAACAGGAACTTCTACAAGTGAGTGGGGCTGGCAAGGAGTCCCGTGTGGCTGGGGTGTTGGAGCAGTACTGGGGAATGCCAGGGGCAGTGCTGGGGGGACAGTTGGGAGCTTGCTGTTGGGCATTGAGGCTCCCCAGCATCCATCCCGTCCCTGCAGTTCACCCAGCCCTAGCTCCATGGGCCATTTGGGCACTAGCTAACCAAGCTGGGGGTCCGTGGCACGGCTGGGGGCCACCATTCTCCCCATGCACCACTGCAGAGCCTGACCAAGAGGGCAAGTTTTGCTCCCCGGCAGTGGTGCACCTCTACATTTCCCTCTCGTAGGGAGTGCGGGGGTCCCTGTGCCCAGGGTGGTTTGTTGTGAGCCAGGCAGGGATGCTGCCACAGCACTGTGACTCAAGGGAGGGGTCCGGGTGTGCGTGCACTGCCCGTGGTGCGGTGCCCAGCAGTGTGCGCACCCCTCACCGCACAGCCAGGGTGTTGCTCCTGCAGGCGGTTGAAGCGCGCAGCCAGGACGAAGGGACGGAGCCCAAGGCTGGGCAGCAGGTAAGGGGCTGGGGCGCCCCGTCTGCTGAGCCCTGGGCAGCGCCGGGCTGTCCTGTCCTGCCAGTCTCTGCAGTCCGAGCGGATCCTGGCATGAGCGGATCTGGACAGAGCAGACTGAGGGCCTGTGGTGTGCTGGGCAGGAAGAGCCCACTCCAGTGGGACCTGTCTGGGTGCACTGGGGTCCCCTGTCCCCCATGAGAGATGCTCTTTCTCCTAGGCTGCTGGTGCCCCAGGCCAAGCAGCCTTGTCCCACACAATGGGCAGGGTCTGTGTCTGCAGAGCAGACCCATTGTGGGCAGGGTCCTGGTGGAAGTCATGGGGAGGGCTGCGGTGCCCTGTGCTGCAGCCCTGCGGGGACAGGGAGGCCTCGGAAAGGAGCTCTCTCTCCTGGTGGATAAGGAGGGTGGACTGCAGGAATGGGCTGCTTTCTGCAGAAAGTGGCAGTGGGGAAGCTGGAAAGGCTGCGCACTTCCCTATTCCCAATGGGGTGGGATGGCGCGGGCATTAAAGTGCTTGCTCAGCAGTGCTGGTGGTGCTGGGCACCAGGGCAGTGGGCATGGTGGTGCTGGGCACTGGGCTGATGGTCGTGGTTTGCTAGGTCTTGTCCCAGGTGCTGCAGCTGCCCGGGATCTCTTGCACTGTCTGCCCACTCTCTCTTGCTGCCATTCTGCCTGACCCCGGGGACAGTCTGGCTGCCCTTTCCCTCTGGCCCTGCGCTGCTGCTGACAGATTTGGCAGTGGGTGCAGAGACCCAGGCTACTTCCAAAGCCATCCAAAGCCCATCCTCCCTGGGCTGTTGCATGGTACCTCTCGCTTGAGCCCATCATGTGGAGAAGCTGCTCTGCCCCTGCCCTGCTTCAGCTCGGTCCCACCATCCCCGTGGTGCTGAAGGTGCTCCATGTGCTCTTGGCCCATCCCAAGTCCTTCACTGTGACCTCCTAGCACTGTGTCATCGATGGGCACCGTCCCCAGCTCCTGTAGCTCTGCCTGTGCTGGTGGTGGGAATCCAGATGGGGTCAGCCTGTGGGGGTCTCCTCAAAGCCCCACTCACACATCCCTCTTGCTGCAACTTGCTGGTGCTGCTTTGTCTGGTTGGTGCCCTCTACCTCTTTCCCACTGAGCGGGCATTGTCCACGTGGCACTGGGCAAAATGCTGCGCCACGTCTGTGAGCAGCGATCCGCTCCCTTTCCTCTGCCTGCCACAGGAGCCAAGCTCTGGTTTGCTTGGGCTGAGCTGTTCAGGCTGCACGTCTGCAGCCCGCGTGGGGTGATGGTAATGGGTAATCCTGGCTGGAAGGGACCTCGTGGTTCTGGTCCAACATCTCCTGCAGCGCTGTGGGCTGGCTCAGGGCTTCATCCAGCTGGCGTTTGAAAGACAAGGACAGAGATCCCACAGCCTTGTGGACTCTGCTCTGATGCTGAGTGGCCCTCATGGGGAAAGTTTTCCTTACATCTAGTGTGACCCTCTTCTTGCAAATTTTGCCTGCTTTCCCTTGTGCACCCTGTCATTAGCAGCTGTGAAGAGCCTGGCTCCAGCTTCCTGACAGCCCTTTGTGGGTGCAGGTCGGGGGCTGCCTGAGCCCCTGGAGCCAAATCATCACCAGGCTGCAGCAGCCCAGCTTCCCATTTCTCTGCCAGTCCCTGGCTGTCCCGGTGCTGTCTGCAGGGCTCGCTCCGCTTTGCTGATATCTTTCTTGTATCAGGAGACCCAGCATTGGGCACAGGATCTACCTGTGGTCTCAGGAGTGCAGATGGGTGCTGATGTCCTCTGAACATTTGTGTGAACCCTCGTCCTGACTGTTGTGCGCTGTGTCACAGGGCTCACTGGGCTGCGTGGGCTGACACTGATGTGCTGTAGGCTGGCAGGACAGCTGCCAGGCTTGGTTTTACCTTATCCCTAGTTTCTGGGGAGCTTGCAGTCCCCTGCCCTGTTTTGTCACTCTTTTCTCCTGGTCCCTGGGAATTTGGCCATGCTCAGCGTCTTCCTCCCCACCAAGCAAAACAAACCATTTTTGGTGTGTGTGTGGGGACACACAACATACCAGCATTCTACGGGTTTTCTCTGTGCTGCTCAGTGTGATCCCAGGGTACTCCCCGCACTGAAGCTGGGTGCGGTGAGCTCACAGAGTGTCTCACCATCCCCATGGCTTCGGGGAGAGCACTGTCCACATGCACCACTAGCTTGGCGCCGTGCTTGCTAGGTGTCCTGCTCCCCTTGGAGCAAGGCACAGTGATGTTGTCTGGTGTCTGGATGAGGACAGGGGCATACCTCACTTGCACCTGACAGATCAAATCATTGCCACCGGTGTTTGATCTTCTGCTGTGTGTCAAAGCAGCACGGGATGTTGCTGCATCTGTCACAGTTTCCTGGCGGGATGTGGGCAGGAAACTGCATCATTGCTGTGGAGGGCAGTTGTGTCATATTGCTGGCAGCAGATGATGCCATTGCACCCACGCATGACACGAAGTGGACGTGCATGAGGCTCGCCAGGGGCACGCATGCCAAGCTCAGTCTCCGGGGCTCCAGGCTCCTTGATGGTTGTTTTCTGTTTTCCAGGCTGGCCTCCAAATCTCAGCCTAAACAAAAGCGCAGGGAGGACGTAGGGTCCAGGAAGAGGTAAATGGCTCCAGTGGGCAGCCCGAGTGCCTGGAGCCCTGCTCAGCGCTGCTGGAGCCACGCGTGTCCCTGTGCTGTTGGGACAGGGGCAGGGCCGGCAACTGGTGGGCACCCGGGGGGCATAGTGCATCCCACCGGGGATGGAGCCAGGGGATGGAGCCAGGGGATGGAGTGAGGGGCAGGGACGGTGCAGCCGCAGGGGGGGCGACCGCCGACACCTCTGCTCCCGGTGGCTGTGCCTCAGGCTGTGCTCTCTCCTTGCAGGCTGTTTGCGGAGCGGCAGCAGCTCAACTACCGCCTGCACTCCGTGTCCTGCACGGGGACGGAGGTGCACCTCTCCATGTGCACCTTCCAGTTCTACCAGGGCAACACCTCCACAGCCTGCGGGGCCGGCATGCCCGCCGTTGTCAGCTGCCTGCCTGGGCCCCTCTTCACCTCTGGCAGCACCCACAAGAAGAAGCAGCGCCAGCAGCAGCAGGGCCAGGTGAGCCCTGCAGGGTGGGTGTGCGGTGCTGTGGTGGCCCACAATGGCCACTGCCCTGTTGCAGGGCTCTGAGCCCCTGGCTGGGCCAAGAGCAGGCATGCGGTGTCCCTGGGGCAGGAGGTGGGGACAGTGTTCTGTCCCTGCACGTCACAGCCACCTCTGTGCTGCACCGTGCTGTGCCGTGGCACACCGCTGTGCCATGCCACACTGTGCAGTGCCACGTTGTGCTGCACCGTGCCTGCCGTGCTGTGCCACACCGTGCACACCGTGCTGCCCCATGCTGTCCCCTGCCATGCCCTGACCCAATGCCCCGCAGCTGCGGATCCGGCTGAAGGGAGGTGCGAAGGCCGGGGAGGGCCGCGTCGAGGTGCTCAAGAGCAACGAGTGGGGCACAGTCTGCGATGACCGCTGGAACCTGCTGTCAGCCAGCGTGGTGTGCCGTGAGCTGGGTTTCGGCAGCGCCAAGGAAGCCCTCACTGGGGCACGCATGGGCCAAGGTGAGGGTCCTGGGCCAGGCATCTCTTTCAGATGGCTGCGCTGGGCGAGCCACAGCCAGGCCTGGCACTGCAGCTGCGGGCAGCACGTGGTGCAGGGCTTGCCCGGAGCATCCCGGGGGACTGCAGCCGCTCGGTCCTTTGGGGAGGGCAGGGCTGTGCCAGGAGGGGGGCAAGGGCAGCTGCGGTGGGGGATGGCGCGGCTGGGCGCTGAGCCCCACAGCTTCTCTGCAGGGACAGGGCCAATCCACCTGAACGAGGTGCAGTGCCTGGGCACCGAGAAGTCCCTCTGGAGCTGCCCCTTCAAGAACATCACGCAGGAGGACTGCAAGCACACAGAGGATGCAGCCGTCCGCTGCAACGTCCCCTACATGGGCTACGAGAACCTGGTGCGTGCTTGTGGTGGGGGCTGCGCATCCATGGGGTTCCTGGCATCTGGGCCATGGAGTGGGGGGCTGAGGGACCACAGCAGTGCCTGTGTCACCTGCAGAGCCCGGGGAGCCCATGGGACCTAACATGGGATGTCCCCTCATCTGTCCTGTACTGCACCCCATTGTTGTTTCCTCCCGATCTGGGGAAAGGGCTGCCCAGGGGGGGTTGGGGATTTCTGGGGACTGGAGTCCCAAACTGTCCCTGTGGGTAGGGTGGTGGAAGGGAGGCCCTGGGGGCTCTGAGAGCTCTGTGGTGCCCCCTGCTCAGTGGTGTGGCCAGCTGCTCCCTGCTGAAGCACCTGAAAAAAAATCGCTGTGGGCCAAGCAAGAGAGATTTTTTTCAAACTGATGATGAAATGAGCAAATGGAGCAGCACCTCCCTTTGACCTAGTGTCTCATTTCATCCACTTTGGGCTTTTTAACCTTTTTAACACTCTCACGCTTGTCATTTCTGAAATGAGAACACATTTTGAAATGAATTATTTTCCCTGCTTTGGTACACACTTCCTGAACCCACAAAGTTTTGGCCCCAAAGTGCCATTTTTGGTGAGCTCCCAGCTCACCAAAAGTTGTGCCTGGCTCTGCTCAGCTCCTGTCTGCTTCTTCCTTCATGCCGTGCCGCCCTGGCCCCGGGGCCCATCCAGGTGCTGCCGCGTGGCCCCGGCTGCCTGGGCAGGATGCGCTGTGGGACACGGCCCCAGCAGCAGGAGCATCGCTCATGATGCCGATGACGCTGCCACTGCCTTTCTCTGCAGATTCGGCTGAGCGGGGGTCGGAGCCGCTTCGAGGGGCGGGTCGAGGTGGCGGTGGGGGCTGGCGACGGGGACGAGCTCCGCTGGGGTCTGGTCTGCGGCGAAGGCTGGGGTACGCTGGAGGCGATGGTGGTCTGTCGCCAGCTGGGTCTGGGATTCGCTAACCACGGCTTACAAGTAGGTGCTAGCGCCAGCTTGGCCAGGGCAGCGAGCCGCCACCACCACTGCTCCGCGGGGACGGGGATGGGGACACGGGGACGGGGACATGGCGGGGGGCGGTGCAGTGCGGGGTGCACGCTCACGGCCCCAGGACTTCCCCACAGATCCGCCTAGCCGGCGGGAGGACGGCGTTCGAGGGCCGTGTGGAGGTGAAGCGCGGCAGTAAGTGGGGCACGGTGTGCAGCGATGGCTGGACCACCAAAGAGGCCATGGTGGCCTGCCGCCAGCTTGGCCTGGGCTACTCCCTGCACGCGGTGACGGTAGGTGCCAGCGGGGAGGCGCCTGGTGATGCCCTGGCAAGCACAGACACCGGCGCTTCCCTGATGGCCCTGGGGCTGAGAGGGGTGATGGGACGTGGCCCCTCTGTGCCATAGGAGCCTGTGGGGGCAGCCTGAGGGGGTGGGCAGGGTACACCGAGGCAGAGTGCGTCTGAGCCGGGTCACCCAGAGCATTTGGCCCAGCCTGTCTCACCCACCCCAGGAGACGTGGTACTGGGATGCCAGCAACGTGACGGAGATGGTGCTGAGCGGTGTGAAGTGCGCTGGCCACGAGATGTCCCTGAGCCACTGCCAGCACCACGGCAGCAGCCTGAGCTGCAGGAACACGGGCACGCGCTTCGCCGCAGGCGTCATCTGCTCTGAGAGTGAGCGCTGGTGGGGACTGCGGGCACGGGGCCGTGGGGCCAGGGGCTGCAGAGGCAGAAGCTGTGGGCAAGGGGCTCCACAGGTGGTGGGGCTGTGGGGTCAGCCTGTGCCGGCTGATGGAGGGGGGGGGATACACCGTTCAGCCTGGCTGGCTCAGCCCTGCTTGCGCTGCTGCAGCGGTGTGTCCAAGCCGTCCCTGAGCCACCGCCTGCTCCCCAGCCTGCCTCTGACCTGCTGCTGCATGCGCCGCTGGTGCAGGAGACGGCGTACATCGAGGACCGGCCGCTGCACATGCTGTACTGTGCCGCCGAGGAGAACTGCCTCTCCAGCTCGGCCCGCCTGGCCAACTGGCCCTACGGGCACCGCCGCCTGCTCCGCTTCTCCTCCCAGATCCACAACAACGGCCGGGCCGACTTCCGCCCCAAGGCCGGCCGCCACTCCTGGGTCTGGCACGAGTGCCACCGGTGCGTGCAGGGAACGGCCGGGGCTGGGGCTGCGGGCAGCAGGAGGGCGGTGGTGCTGCTGGTGGGCAGGGGAGGGTGGTGCCGGGACCCGTGTCATTTTCCCCAGTTTTGGCTCAGCGGTGTTGGGGCTGGGGGTGCTGGGGGGCAAGGACAGGGCTGCAGGCTGTGCGGGGGCTGAGCCTCCCCTTGCCGGGGCCACCTGGCTGGGGCCAGCCGTGTCCCATCCCAGGGCAAGGCTGAGCTCTGCCCTAGCCTCGTGGTGCTGTGACCTCAGAGCAGGCGCTGTGGGGACCTTCCCAAGCACTGAGGGGACGGGCAGCTGGGGGACCTGTCTCCTGCTTGCTCTGTGGGTTTCCTCAGCTGCTGCTTCCACCTCTGGCCCTCCCTGAGGGTTGCAGTGGTGCAGAAGGGCGCTGCGGGCTCTCTCACAGGCACTACCACAGCATGGACATTTTCACCCACTACGACATCCTGACTCCCAACGGCACCAAAGTGGCAGAGGGCCACAAGGCCAGCTTCTGCCTTGAGGACACAGAATGTGAAGAAGGTGGGAACCGCAAGGCTGTGGGGCACTGTCCCTGCCGTGTCCCCCCCCGTGCAGGGGGCTGCAGCAGGGATGAGCCGCGCTCTCTTCTTGCCTGCAGATGTGGCCAAGCGGTACGAGTGTGCCAACTTCGGGGAGCAGGGCATCACGGTGGGCTGCTGGGACCTGTACCGGCACGACATCGACTGCCAGTGGATCGACATCACTGACGTCAAGCCCGGCAACTACATCCTGCAGGTGCTGCAGCTGCTGCCCCCTGCCCCTCTCACAGCCCCTGAGCAGTACTGCCTGGGACATGCTGGGGAGCCCACCCAGCGCGGGCTGTGCCGTGGGGCTAGGAGGGCTCTGGAGCTTGCCTCTGCCCCTTGGTCCTCAGCACGCTGCTGGCCCTTCTGCAGGACAGGGTGCCTGGCCCCAGGAGCCACGGCAAGGAGGGACTGTGCCTATCCCAGGGCCTGGAGTTGTGCAGGGCTCGTGTGGAACCCGCTCAGGCTTGCTGCGGCCTGAAAGCCATTTCCTGCCCCAATAAATGTTGCTCTTGGGCACATGGGGCACAGTGACAGGGCCACCAGCTCCTCAGAGCCCTCCAGCACATCCCACTGCGGCCAGGGAGACAGGGCCGTGCTGGGGCCGTACCCCAGGCAGCCGCTACGCTGGGCTGGGAGGGCCAAGCTGACCTGGTGAGGGGCTGCAGGGCCTGGGGCAGGGGCCCGCAGCGCCTCACTGTCAGTGCCCCGCAGGTCGTCATTAACCCCAACTTCGAGGTGGCAGAGAGCGACTTCACCAACAACGCCATGAAGTGCAACTGCAAGTACGACGGGCACCGGATCTGGGTGCACAGCTGCCACATCGGTAACGGCCCAGGGACGCGGCATGGGCTGAGGCGAGGGCACGGTGGGGCTGGAGGTGTTCTGGGGGGGGGACCGAGACAGGGGCAGCAAGGGATGGGGGCAGGCTGGGGGCATGGGCAGGCGTCGGGGGCAGGGGCTGGGGTGCTGGGGGTGGCTGGGGAAGGGCGGAGGCGCTGGCAGGACAGCACTGGAGCTGACAGCTCTTGTCCTCTGCCGCCCAGGCGATGCGCTCAGCGAGGAGGCCAGCAAGCGGTTTGAGCAGTACCCGGGCCAGCTGAACAACCAGATCTCGTAGGGCCCAGACACAGGAGCCCCGGGGAGATGGGCATCTCCCTCCTCCGCCCCACACGTGCAGGAGGAAGCTGCTGCGGGGCCGGTGGGGGGCTCACCCCCAACACCTCCAAGCCCTGCACTGCTCTGGGGGCTGCCCAGGACCCACCACCGGGGAGCCACCGGGGGCTGGAGGCACCGGCAGCCCGGGGCACTGCCCCAAACACTGGCCGGACGCTGCGCCCCCTTCCTGGGCTGCGGCACCAGGGCACGGTCCAGAGAGGCCCCGTGCCTCCTCCTGCTGCACCGTGCTCCCCCCGCTCCCCATCCCCACCACCCCACTGCACCCCCTCCTGCTCCCCCAGCCCAGTTCCTCTCGCCCTGAGCTGCCTTCTCTTGGGCTCTGCCCTCTGCTGGCACCAGGACCCTCTGCCCACCTGGGGACCCCCCCGCTCAGGGCCAGCCTCTGTCATGCCCCAGGAGCCCCTTGTTCCCCAGGATGCGGTGGCCGCCCTGCACTGGCAGTGCTGCCTCTGGCTGCCCAGCAGCAGCTCCCACACTCATTCCTTAGTTGTAATTTTATTTTCTTGATAAAGTTGTCTGTTCTATTTCCTCAAGGGGTGCTGGGTCCTCTCTGGGGTGGAAAGAAGAGCCTGGTAACTCGGGGGTAAAGCACTGGCCAGGCTGTCCGGCACGGTGTGTGGGAGCTGCCCCCGCACAGGGGGGAGGAAGGGGCTGCCAGGAGGCTGCAGCAGCGGCACTGGCCCCACGCAGCCCCACAGAGCTGCTGGAGGCTCGCAGCAGCAGGAGCAGATGGGGCCACCCTGGCGCAGCATGGATGTGGTGAAGCGCTGTTTCCCCTGTGCCAGATGCAACGCAGATGTCATGTAGCAGGAATCCCAAGCAGCATGACCTTCCACCAGCCCCGCAGGGCTGTGAACCGCAGGGAGTGCAAGCTCACAGCAGAGCTGGGCTGCCTCGATGGGGAGCAGCCCCACAGGGATTGACATGGGTGGAGCAGAGCCCCACGGAGTCAGGGAGACTGCGCACACATCGGGACACCAGACACGTGAAAGGGAGAAAGACACCTCAGTTGCTGCAGCTCTTGTCCTTCAGCCAGAGGCTCTGGCCGTGTCTGAGCAGTGCAGAGGAGCAGCTCCAGCCTCTGCTGGGGGCAGACCAGGGGAGGAGAGGGGCAGCTGGCACCGGGCAGGCCCTGGCTCCAGCACTGGAAAGCGCTGCGGTCAGCGCTGCCGGAACAGCTATGCAAGAAACGTCTGTGCTATTTCCCCTGCGAGTGGCCGCCCCTCCCCACGGCTGGGGCTTGCCGGGGAACAAATTCCACTGGTGAGGCCAGGGCCAGCCTGAAAGGAGGCCTGTTCTCTGCGTGGGAGGCACGGGCACGCAGGGAGCAGTGCTTTGAGCCGCCCTCTGCCGCAGCACCCCCAAGGAACTGTGCTTCCTTCATCACCTAAAAATGACGGGTGCACGAGGGCTCAGGAGCCCCTCCACGGGTACGGGCTGGCTGGACGCTTGCACTCCTGATGCTGGAGCAGGGCCCTGGTGCAGCCCCTCCGGCCCCCCAGCCCCAGCAGCTCCCTGCCTCCCACAGCTGCTGGCAGGGGCGCTGGGGCTGGAGCGGAGCAGGGCTCTTCCAGGAAGGCGAGCACAGCCTGGGCTGCTCCTTCCCAGTGCAGACAGGCTCTTGGCCGCCAGCTGCAGAGGACAGGGAGGGAGGGAGCGTGGCCAGGCAACAGAGGGCCCGTCGGGTCCCCAGGGGCCGCTGCGTGCGTGGGAGCGCAGCGCTCTGGCGCAGAGATGCTGGCCAGGGGAGGGAAGGAGGGAGGGGGCCCAGAAGGCACACGCAGCCCTCTCACAGGCTCTCCCAAATCGGGGCTGGCGCTGTGCTACTCCTGCCAGATCGTAAGCTGGCTTGGCCATGACATTGAAGACCCCTTCACTGCGACCCAGAGAGCTGTGTCCAAGGAGTAGATGTGGACACTGACACTGGAGCATTTTGCAATGCTCCACATGGGAGTGATTTGACCTGGAAAACATCAGCCCCCTCCCTGAGGCCTTGTGGGAACAGCCCCATCAGCGAGCTCTGCCCAGGCCCATCTCAGCCTGCATGTGAGGGAGGTGGTGACAGCCCTGAACTGCAAAGCCCGGCCCCGCAACAGCCCCAGGGCCCCTCACTAGCAGAGAAGGAGGCCTCAGGAGCCACGGCCTGATGCAAGCCCGTGCGTTATGGAGTCCAACCACAGCACATGCAGGTGCTGAGGGGGTGTTAGGACGCTTCTCCCCCAGCACAGGGGAGGTTGCTGGTCCTCCCACTGCTGCGGGCTGACAGGAGGGACAGGGTCCCACACAGCCCACCACTCCCAGGCTTCATGCAGGACACCCTGTACCACAGGAAGGAGGCCAAGCAGCACCGAGGGGCTCCCTAGAAAAGTGCTTTATTTGAGCAGGGAGGGGAGTGGTTGCACACTGAGTCCATCCCGCTGCCGTGCCCCCTGCCTGGCCCCTCAGTCCGTCGCAAGCTCTCAGTCTCTCCCCAGCGGGCACACAGATGTGTCTCAGTCCTGTGTCCTCGGCTCTCGGCCAGCACTGCCAGCCAGCGCTCACGGCGGTTTGCGCTGCAGCACGGCTACTCCGTGACCTCGGGGACGACGCTCACCAGCAAAGTGTCGTAACCACGGCGCACCAGCAAGGCCAGGCTCTGCTGTGTCCGCACTGCCTCGTAGACATCCTCTGCGCGGCGCGTTGCCTGCCCGTTGATCTCCAGCACTACATCGCCTGCCTTCATCCCTGCCCTGGAGGGAGAAGGAAGTCAGGAGTGCACAGCAGGCAAAGCAGACGCCTGTCTGCGGCTTCATCCTCCGGGCAGGAAGGAGAGCCAGGCACTCCAGGAAGCTGGAGCTGTTGTGCCAGGCATTCCTCCAGCTCCGCAGGTAGCTTGGCCAAATGTTAAGCCCAGGCAAGAGCCACCGGTCAGCTTCTCCTGTAGACTGAGTGGTCTGCAGGGCCCAACCCCTGCTGCTCTGGGGCAAACCACATGGAGATAAATACACCCCACCCCGTGTACTTGTTCCTATGCCAACCCCCGAGGCACAGCTCGGCACTTACTGATGGGCTGGGGAGCCGATGATCACCTTGTGGATCAGCACTCCGTAGGAAACATCGGGAAAGCTGGGGTCACGTAGCTTCAGCTCAGCTAGGATGCTGCAGAGTGAAAAATCAGCATCGTAAGGAGCTGGGGAGCAGAGCAGGGTTCCTGCCTGGCTATGACTGCACAGGCTTGAGGAATGTGGTGCAGAACCTCTCCTTCTGTGCTGCTGCAGAACTGACCAGCTGCAGACCCTGGGGGCACCCAAACACCACCATATTTCTGCCAACAACTAGAGAGGATGTAAGTCCTGGGCACGCCAGGGAGAGCTGGAAACTACCAGAGCTGCGGCCGGCTGGCTCCCAGCTTCTGGTGATGCACTCCCCATGTCTGAGCAGCCCCATGTCAGACAGCTTTTCCTGGTATCAGATCTGCACCTCCCCTACCATGGTTTCACTTCTCTCTCCTGCAGATAGGTCACAGGAGAAAAGCTATGCCCCCTCCTTTTGCCAGATGTGTCAAGTAGAGGTACGCCTACATCTCTCCCCTGGAGTCTAGACTGAACAATAGCAGTTCCTCCAGATCAGGTTTTCTAACCCTAGTTCTGAATTCTGCACCTCTCTGCTCCTATCCAGATGCTACCTGCTCCTGAAAGCAGTGGACACAGCGCTCCAGCTGGACCTCACAGCTGTGCACCATGTGAACTGCTCTCTGTGAATTTCTCTCAAATACTGTACCAGCTCTGATCCACTGTAAGCCCAGAAAATCCTGCACCCAGCTCCTTGCTCCCCACCAGGTACCCGTTCCATCAGCTGACTCCCCGCTTTACGCGGGTTTATGCTGAACCCCTGTTGCACAGTACTTTTGCACAGATCATTGTGAGTTGCTGTCCCTTCTTCATTCTGCAGTATCACAGCACCAATGAGCTTAGAAGGGTGCTCCAGAGGCCACCTTGTCCAACACCCTGCTCAAGCAGGGGCAGCCAGAATGGGCTGCGTCCAGTTCGGTGTTGGATGCCTCCCAGAAGGGAAACTCCATGCACCCCTAGTCAGCCTGCACCAGGGTTTGAACACCGTCACAATTGGAAAAAAAAAAAAAAAGCGATTTATTGCATTCAGCTGGAATCTGACGTGTTTCAGTTTGTGCCCATCGCCCCTCGTCCTGTCAGCAGGACGACCGATGCGATGTGAGCTGCGTACTTACCACGACCAGCCTGCTTCGCCTCCGTCACTAACACAGAACCAGGCGTGCCCTTCGGCAGGTGTCTCCACAAACATAACAAACCCACAGTTTTGTGCCTTCATGCCATGAGAGGCTGGAACAGGCTGCGGTGGGGTGTCAGCCCCAGCCAGCAGGTAAGCCCCCACCCGGGCGCTCAGTCACCCCCCCCAGCGGGATGGGGGATGGAATCAGAAGGGCAGAAGCAAGAAAACTTGTGAGCTGAGGTAAAGACAAGTCAGCAAGCAAAGAAAGGAGGAAGCAAACAAAACCACAGGGGATGCAGAGGTATCAGCGCCTCCCATTGCAGACTGGCACCAGCCAGCCCCTGAGCAGCTCCCCCAGTTTTACTGCTGGGCACAGCGCCGTGTGGTCTGCACGTCCCGCTGGTGTCCCCTCCCAATGGGAAGAAGCACGAGGAACGCAGAAGGCCTTGGTACTGTGCATGCAGTGCTCATAGCTAAAGCACTGGTGTTACCAACACTGCTTTGGTCACAAATCCAAGACACAGCCTCCTGTGAGATTCTATGCAGAAAATCACCTCCTCCCCAGCCAGCCCCGGTACACACGGTCAGATCAAGGGCCTGCCTGCACCACCACCCATCTCCTGCACCTCTTGCTGCGGATGAGATAGCTCCCTCCCCAGCTGCCTGCTCTGGAAGCTCCTGAGCTGAAATGCTGCATCTGAGCTTTTGACAGCCAGTAAGATTTTGCTTCTGTAAGGGTTGCTCTTTTAAATCCTACAACATCAGCAAGTTCTACTGCACACAGCATGAAGAACCAACCCATGTTTTAACATCTCTCTAGTAATGTCCCCCACCAGCTCCTGTTTCACATAGGACCTGTTCCCAACAGTCAGCACCTATTTCCTTTTCTGTTTCCCAAGTCCCTTGCTCAGCCCTCGCTTACTCCATGCTATAAGGCACAACAGCAGGAGCTCAGCCTCACCAGCTCTACACTAAATATTATTTGAGAAGACACTTCCCTAGCTGTATTTTTCTCTCCTCTCTAGAGAGCCATGCGAATCTCAGCAAGGACTTTTCATGGGAGAAAACAGGGTGCCCATATGGGCTCTGCTCTCTGATCAGAGCCCCACCTTTGGCTGGCAGCATGAGCCCTCACCACAGCCTGTTCCCCATGGTGTCCTGTTCCGCAGCACGCTGCCCCAGCTGCAGCTCTCGTGCTGAGCACCAGCACCATCTGCTGGGCATGCCACCGGTGCTGACAATGTTCCCTGCCCACCCTGCTGCCCCAAAATTCAGGAGGTGCCGCGCATCTCCTCCTGTTTGTGTG